GAGCTTTCATTTGAACACTTTACCAAAGAAGAATGTCCAAGAACCTTATAAAAGTAAAATTATTTATTCTTTTTTAGAGAACTGTGGCGACCAACACAGAATACTCCTCCGATGTCGACAGTCCAAATCTGCAAATGGCTCCTAGAACTATCACCGCCAAAACCTCTTCTCCCATTGGTTCATTCGACAATGTAGGGGAAAATCACCGTTGCATCATAACGTAGCCTGTTTTACCTTGAAATCACGTCCTTAATGGGTGATTTGTGATTTCTCGGAAGCCGTGATAGGGCGTGACATCAGAAAAGCTCGGGTTTTACTAGTGCTAGCCCAAAGGCGTGGTTTGATTACCCTGACGCCAATATGCATTTGCAATCCACGAAGAATGAATGGTTCACGTAGTTAAATGGGCGCTGATAACAGATAGAGCTCTGTTGTAACACGAATTGCACTTTTAAAGTTGAATTATAAAGAAACCTTTTGAATTTGAGGCAAGAATGCATCACATTTTTCGGTATTTTTGTGCTCACTAGTGAGTAATGTTTCAATGCATTTGCGCTTAAGTAATTTTACCACCGTAAGTTGAGAAAGAATAAGTTTCAATAAATTAAATAGCTTCCTCGACTAAAACACTTTAATTATTCTGCTTTCATTTTTCTCCTCCAATGATAGGTCTTCAGAGGCCGTCATTTCTCATCGTCGGTGGCGTAAGTAGTTATGTCCATTACTGACTTGCTGAATCGTGTCAAATATGCTAAAAAATATCGAAATGTTTGTGATAAGTCCACTGTATCCTTTTTGAATAATTTTCATGCCTCTGCACGTTGATCGCGCTTTCATCTTTTCCCCAAAAATACATAATGCCTTGATGGATTTAAAACTTTCCCACTTAGAGCTTTAATGGATTTTTTATGTTCTCGGACTGTAATTATGCCAAATGTCAACATTTAGGACTAAATGGGTTAAGAAAGTTGCATCCGAAAGAGAATTTAAAAGTGGTCTATTATTATAGATGCTTTTAGACGTTAAACGAATTCCCTATAAAAAGTCCTTCATTCCCCCCCTATTGCTATGGTAAGGCGTGTCAATTTATACTAATGGTTCGTCATTAGCATACGGAGGGGTTAGAGGAGTGTCCTGGCATGGCCAGAAGTCCACATTGTTAGGATGAAAGACCGAAAAGCATAGCTGGATATGCACTAGTCTGATCACCCACCTGCCTGTCCACCCACCCTCACATCACAACATGGCTGCCAAATATGATGGCCGCGAGCCAAGCTTGCCTGCTTTTCGAGCTGCTTTCAACTCAGTCCCAAAGCTGCAGAAACTGACGTCTACAGCGAGTTCAATGTGTTGTAAAACAGAAGAAGGCGGAATTTGAACGATTCCTCTGGTAAATCACTTCAAGATTGACACATCATATCTAGCATCATCCTCCATTATTGAGAATACTAGGTCAAGAATAACTTAACAAAAACTTTTTAATGTTTGATACGAGCGGTAAAGCAGTTCCTTTGCACTTACACAAGTCTCGAAAGAGACAAAATGATTGGGTTTTGTTATTTGCAAATGCAAAGGATAATCAGTGCTAAAGGTTGACTATTTTGTTTTCTTCCTCTTTCACAACCGTTAGAGAGTCGCCTTGTGAACTGTAGTTTATTTGCTGGTCGACTTTTAGTGCAAAGTAGCTTTTGTATCCTTGCGGTCCCAAACGAAAGGTCATTTCATTGGTTACTTCCCAACCGTCCACTTCCTGTCAAGTCATGGCAAACATTACTTCATGCCAAAAGACCATGCTTGCTTTAGTTGCCAGATTTTTTTACCTTGCCAGAGATCAGATAATTACACACAAGATATATTTAAATGATACGAGGAAAACTAATTCGGAAGGCGACATGACCAACGTCAAGGGATCATGCCACAAAACTGTTCCGTGAGCAAACACTCCCGTTCCGTCTCCGCGTTACCCTACAGCTGTTTCTCCATGTAGTTGCCACCTTGAGGTTAGACGCTCAATTACAAAGCTGACTAAACACTTGGAAAATATAAATGAGATAATTGCGACCGTAGAAAGAACAATGTTTTGAACTTTTGGAGGTAGAAAGTGTCGTAAAAGTGGGATGCAAAGGTTTCTATCTCTACGGCGATGTGTGATAGATTACATTTGTGGTCATAATCTCTGTAACTATTTTGATGTTAGTGCAAAATCCCTGTGTCTCGTTTCTGCACTTATTTACTAATTTGCTCATGAAGGTTGACAATATGCAGGACTTTGGGCGAGCAGTTAAAAACAATTCATTTAAACAAGAGAAAAATTAATTCTATTTATTTTGTCAAGTCTGTGTCATAATGCAATCCATAATTACACCTTCATGGCTCACTTCTTTTGTTTTATTCATTTTCAACGCTGTTAGGCTTTAGTGTTTAACGGAGTTATTTATATTTATGCAGACTTAACTTTAGTTTTACTGATAACTTGTCAAATTTTAGATTGCCGTGTTTTCAATGTCATGACGCAGAGCCACAGATGAAACGCCTGACCTGGGTAGCGAATGTAAGTGCCCTGGCAATCATCTTCTGCATTGCTGGAATCCAGTGTAAAGAAGTGCTGGCGTGTGCAATTGTAGAATACAATCACCGATCGTTCAACTGCCCTGTGTGCTCCATTGGAGGCAAGTCGGACCGATCAACTTGTGTTCGATCAGCTTCGGGAGGAGAACGAACGACTTCAAAAGCAATTGGCTCACTTCAAGGTCGGTTTATTATAGCAGACATTAATTACCGTTTCGTGTTTGCGCTGTCTCTGGCCTATTAAAAGCATGCAAAAGGGCTAGAACACTAGTAAGACAGGTGAGGTACACAGATCAAGTATGGGTAGCATGATTGAGAATTTCAACTAGGAGTATTACCCCGAGTTACTTAAAATTCACAGTAGGGCTGGATTTGCAATGCTTTTTTATATAGCGCACCTTTTTTGTGTTTAGGATCAGAAATTTCCTTAATCATTGAGGCGTATCTAAAACAACTCCTTAGGCTAAGATTTTTCATCGTCCCATTTTTAACTTTTAAGTACTGGTTTAATAAAAAACTGTCCAGTTTCTTTTTATGCCACTACTTATTACCACATTTAGTCCCGAAAGAAAAGTGAAAACAGACACGAAAGGCGATCAAGCGGAAGTGAAAGTTTAGAGGTAGAATCCGACAACGAAGCACGGCGGAAAACTTTTCGACAGTCCTCACGCTGCTGTCGTACCGATTTCCATGTGAGCAAGATCCTACATTAACCATAAGGCTCTTTTTTTTGAAGAATCTGAGAAACACCATACTTTCATGGTCTTTTGCAGAAGGACTTTAGCACAGTACTTAGGTCTCCCCCCTTCTAGTCGAGAATCTTTCGTATATAGTTAAATGATGATGCTGTAATCAACCTTTCTGTGAAAGGTGGTTTACTTTACCAGAGTGCATGGTTTGAAAAGGATGAACAAACTTGATTAAGAAGCAGTGAAAGCGGTTCTAATTTTGGACCTAAAGTGTTTAATAAGATATTGACTGCATCTTGTAAACACCTTCAATGTGTATTCTATCGGGAATATTCCCAAGTTGTCCCTTAAGTCCTCAAGGTTACGCAACTGAAGGCAGGATTCAGTGATACAGCGTGTTCTACCCACAACTTCTACGGGCTCAAAATGTAACAAAGCTTCAGACCTTTGGAGTAGGCAACGGGATTTTTGGGATGTGGTCTGCTACAATGTAGAAACTCATGTCTTAGAATACGCACCGGCCTTGTTAATTCAAACAAACAAATGTAGAGTGAATATCAGTGCTGGTATGGGCACCACTATGGCCAGCAATTTCCCTTTGACATAAGCGGCAGGTGGCGGAAGTGTTGATTGTAAAAAGCTCTTTAAAGATGTAGACATATACACTCATGCCACGTATCGCCACTATTCTATTTTGCAAAGTAATAAAAAGATACCTTTGTATATGTCTTGTCCATCTGCAAAAAATAAATATTTCTATTTTCGAAGCGGTAAATGTTTGCTCCCGAATTGACCATAATAATATCTAACTGCTTCGATCCTGAACAAAGACTGCATAAATTAGCTTTTCTGCATTCAAAGTAATTTAATGCCTCTCAAAGGTTTTGGGAAAACCTTGCTCTAGGGTAAAGCTCCGGGACTTCCCCAAAGACGAAAGAATACATAATACTAGGGCAAAATATATACATTCCACCTGCATAAGAAAATTGGGCTACTGACACAGTCAGAGGCCAGTCCGCTCGACTTAATTGCAATGGCGGAAACCGAAAGTGGTTCTTATTAAAACCGAGAGTTAAATAAACAAGCGCCGTATTACGTTAAAGTACTGATCAAGAATAATAATGTCATTTGCTGAAAACATGCCTGTAGATATTGATCAAACATCCTTATTCCTGCAAACTTCAGACCAACAAACAGCAAAAATAGCAGTTTTGAGCCGGAATCCTTGTGTACTCTACAAGATCACAGATAATCCAACGGTAGTTTGCCCCTTTTTGTTGTTAAGAAAAAAAAAATCAGTTTCCAAAAAACTAAAAAGCGGAGTAATTTAAGAATACTCTCTATATAAAGATAGGAGGAGGAAGTTTCAAAGCGTAATCTAGTTTCAGTAGCGATGCATTTGCCCACTCACACGCAATTCCCTGGTCTTCATACCTGAACCCAGGTTTCACGCCTATGTGCCACATTTAAAAAATAAAACAAGGTGACAAGTTTGCGACAGATATGTGTACCAACGAAATCTGGACTATGCTGGTCGAGAAACCCTTTGAGACACCGATTGCAAAAGCGCGAGATATTTTTCTCCTTTTTTCTTAAATCTTCATTACCATGATTCAGCAAGTCGCGGAGACTATATGCAATAACTGGTTTAAATAACTAATTAATGCCGAACCAACCATCGTGTGATATTGTCCGCGAGCTGAGCATCCTACAGCATGCTAAAGCTTATCGTTCCTCCTTTCGATGTCTTCAAAGGAGGCGGATGATGTGTCCACCCGTGAGAAGCTTCAACGCAGGATTCACGAGTTAGAACTGGAGCGAAATCGGATTTTAGTGGAAAAGCAGGTTTTGGAGGAGAACGCGCGTGCGGAGCACCGCCTTGCTGATAAGTTGATAACACAGACCCTTCGACGGCGCAGGACTCGCTATTCCTCGCTCAGACACTACTCTGGTAGACGCGATAGACGTACGGGAAGGTAAGCAAATTTGACTTCGGTATAAATGCTTGCCAAAAATGATTGGGCAAAAAGCGTTTTTTGGAAATATTTCGTTTATAAGTCATGAAGGCAGTGAAGATTAACTTATCCTGTCCAGCTGTTTCAAAGATTTAGAAAAAGTGGCATCAGAGGAGATGCTATTGTTACTTCGAGAAGCGTCCAAGTTCCGTCTTGGTTCGGACACCTCCTGTAGAACTTAAATGGTCCACTTGTAAAAGAAAATTTTTGCTGTTCCAACGGAGTGTATGTAATGCTATTTGTATCGACGACGCTTTGAATTACCAAAATTATCCCTAAGTATTTTTACACCGAATGTTATTTTGATTTATTAAGAGAGAAACAATAATTGTCAGCTAATGATATGCTACTTAAATGCTGAAGTACATTTAAGTAGCATGTAATCGATATTAATTGACCTGAATATGTTAGCTAGTGAATTGGTGGTGGTTCTCCCCTGGCCACGAAACGTGGGAAATTTTCAATTTTTGGTGGATTTAAGTAGCACAGAGTCTTTCTATGCGTCGGAGACTTCAACCGAACGCCATGCGAAGCGACGAAAGGGCCACAGAAAAAAGGCCTCAAAACCCACTCCAAAGGCTACAGAAGATGGCTCTTCAGAAAATGAGGAAATCAATGTAGTGCCGATTGGTGATCTGCAGCCATACAAGCCTACTATCCGTCCAAAAGTGTCTCTCCTTGTAGGAGATTGTAAGTTGATAAATTTTATTATATACATTTTGAAAATTGTCTTACTTCAGTTGCATCCAGATGTCGGCGTCCTAATTACCTTTTGTGCTTTTTGGTTGCAAAGCTTACGCGGACAAGATGAACACGAGGGAGCTTCACAGCACAAAGGTTTTTGGTGTTCCTTCAGTGACAAGTTTGATGTTACAGAAGGCTCGACTGAATCTTCAAGCAGTTGAAAGAGACCTTCAGGCGCATACTGCAACTCCTGATATCAATTCATCTGATTACTTGGAGTATTTGAAGAAAAAGTATTTGACATAAGAGACCGGCTTTATTACACAACGTTCGGATCATCTGACCGTGAATGCTTTCTGTATTGTGATTTCATGTTTCCAATGTTTGTTGAGGAAATAAGACTGCATTACTTGTTGATCCTGCTTGCATGCTCCTGAGATGGGGATCTTCCAACAGAGAGGGCTGCCGCAATCCCTTCAAGTGAGGGCTTGACATCTCATTTGTTGTTCGTCAACTTTATCAAAACTCTTTGCGGTCCCCCTGTTGCCTTATATGATTTAGTTTGGCACTTTTTTCGCATAACTTTGGATTTTCTTTCTGTTACTTTAAAGCATCTGCAAACATGAATCCACGGATAAAACGAATGTCAGTCAGACATAAATTTGGCTGGTAAAAGAATTACAAATTGACTTAATTGCCCAAAAAATTGAATTTCGTCGGAAGTTATGGAAAATAATGTGGTGGTAGACACCCTCATCTCCTGGCACGCACGAACAACCAGTGGTGTGTACTCCAACGAGGTGGGATCAGATGAACATAATCGACAAGGTATATGTTCCAGGCAGATGATCTCGCCGTGCAACCTAATCGACTCCCTCCCTTTACTACCGTGACATCGTAGCGAACTACACCACCGGATCCTCAGCGCGCCTTGTTCAACAACCGCAAGTGATTGCAACTTCACAATAAAGCAGCAACGCACCTCAAACAATTGCTAGTGTCTGCTTACTACCTCAAGGGTGATTCACTAAATCCCTTCATCGAGGATGCCAAATGCATCTACTGCGTCAGGGTAGAGTGATAGAGCGGCATCCAACTAAGCTAACAATGGCGCTTAGACAACAGAGGCAAAATCTGGTACAACTTTGCCGTCCAGAAAAGCCCTACAGCTTGAATGGCAATTGTCACCACAACCCTTTCAAATAATGTATCAGGACCGGATCTATGCTACTAGTCTTTCGTACATAGTGTGAACCACTGGTGAGGCTACTCACAAATTCGTACCCTATGACATTCAGGAGCAATATAAGCGTTGCATGTGGCAAATCTGCAGCATGCAGATGCGATTAATTCATGCTAAGCCATTTTCCAAATGCGTTGATTAGACTGCTTTCTGGGGCGTATAACTACTTGCTATTATAGATGCATTGTTGCCCAGCGGTGTTATGCCATATGGATTAAATAAGCGAAATTTTATTCAGATACATACATATGTGCGTTTCTGCGATTACTTTTATTGAGAAAAACATGTGAAAATATAAACAGAAAGCGTTGACACCGGAAATCAAAGAGTAGGAGCTGGTAGCTTGCCCAACTCAATATCTCTGTGGGATGTGAAAGACAACTTGGCTTTCTCGTTGATTGAGCAGATGTGCTGAGCCAAAGGGAAAAACACAAAAGTCTTCACAACTTTGCACAATGTAAGCGTCAGAGTATGGGGCAGAGTGACCTTAATTCGACAAGTCTTTTCTACACCTTGGCGTGTCGTGCTACGGAAAATCACCAAAGGATTACATGCAATAATTCTCAACGGATATTTTTGTGGTTTCGCTCTAAACTTCTAATCAAATCGCCAAAATACTACCACATTTTAACAATAAACGAGCTCTTTCGAATTCACGAAATATTGTAATGTCACAGCGATCACTAAAGTTATTTTCGTCCAATGATGGAATCCTTCCCACGGCTTTTCTTAAAACAGATAAGCCCTGTTCACCCACAGTCATGATTCTTCAGTAGTCTTACAAAACTTTTCATTGTTCATTATTTGCAAAGGTTTCCACAAAATTGTAAAGACAGACTTCTGCCCCTTGCCATTTGGCTACGCCCAATATCTAAAGGCTCGTTTGCTTTAAACATTAATTCAAACAATCTATTTTATGTACTTCCACGAGCAAACAAAGCATTTTCAGTGCCATTACGCTTGTAACGTAAAATAAACATACACGTGGTCCAAGATCTAGCAAAACATCAATAGGATATGAGGATACGCTAGTCTACTTTCCCGATTGCTTATACGTTTGAATTTCTAAAACTCATCATGGGTATTTACCAAACACTGCATTTTATATGACCAAAAATTTTTTGATACAAAATAACACTCACTGATAAATCCCGGAAACATTCGTTGTAGTCGATCGCATAGCCCACAATAAACTGGTCAGGGATTTCAAAACCCAGAACTAAATAAGAATACAGATGGTAGCAAAAATTCGTAGTTGACTGTCAAAGGCCAACTAGAAAAAGGCATTTACAGTGCACATAAATTCGTAGTTACTAAACTGATTAAAGAGAAATAAATACAACCTGACGAGTTAAACATTGCAGCAGATGAAACACTATAAAATATTATTAAACATACAGTCAGGTCGATATCCAATATTGAGTTTGGTGTGTTTTAATAATAAACTGAAAGCGAAACTAAAAGTTAGGAAGGACTGCCAAGACAATGAATATCGTACTAAAAACGTGAAATGTGACCGCTCACCAGCAAGTCATAACAGATTTGGCGCCCGCCTCAGTTAAATAATCAGACAGTTTAACCATAGTTTTCCCCGTATCACAAATATCATCAACAATAAGAATATTCTAGCAGAAATGTAAACAAGGAAACATACGTCAAACAAATACCTTGTCTTTGATTGGCATAGCATTATCAATAGACCTGATACCTACAGTGCCAGAAACGGTATCCTAGATGATGAGACGTTATTAAAAATTCAAGTACTGTGTAACTCTTAACACGAATAAACTCAACAGCTATACACAACTGAGCACTTCTCGACCAAATTATTCTTTGCAATTCGTCGATCAAGTCGGAAAAAAATTTGAATCCACCTTTCAGAACACACATTATGGATAGATTGGTTATTCCAAGGTGCTCATAAGACTCAACAATATGTGCAGCCAATCGCTGAAGTCTAAAAATATTTATTACAGCACTTAACAAACCTATCTTTAATCATTCCGTTCGACACAAGAACCTTGTCCAAATATGGGACATAGCGCTCAGGAATGCAAAATGCAGTCGTTGGAAATCCACTAAAACCGTTGGCCAACTTTTAGGGCAATCAATGAAAAATTATCTCACGTTCACAGGTTCCGAATCTCGAATATCCGATCCTGGCACCACGCTTGGAGGAATCATCGTATCGACCTACAAAACTAGTGAGCGACTGATTCTGCTGACTTATATAAACAAAAACAAACCATTATTTTGCAACTACAGGTCCCTTACCACCACATAATATAACTTAATTTGTACAAAAATGTGATTTATTTAGCTCTGCTAACAGATATATCAGTTGTTTAGGGTTTAATTACCTGCAATGTAACCACGTTTTATAAATAAGATTGGAAATTCATTTCATCGGCAATATAACTGGCAAGCTGCCTTACCACTGCCATCACAATATGTTAGAGATTGAAATTTGACTTCTAAGGGCAAAAAGGTGGTGCCATATTGGTAAAATTGACAGGAATCCATCGGACCCAACAAGTTTGGGGTATGGCTGTTTCTGCTATTTTTCCTTGTGTTTGGAGAGTAGTGTGCTTTTTTCTCAAAAATAAGAATGGATGTAAAGTAGCTGCTTGACTATATGTTTTGTCTTTAGAAGAGCGCGAAAGTCTGCCTCCGTGGTTTTATCAACCCCACGGCTACTGACGGTAAATCTATGTAGCGTCCCGAGACTCCCTGAAGACGAAAGAAGACACAATACTCGTGCAGAATATATATATTTAGCACGGAGAAGGTGTCTGAGCTATTGGCATGGCCCAAAAGGCCAGCCCACCCAGCGGGGTACAAGGGGGCTAATTCAAAGTACAAAAGTGGTGCCTCACTAGAACCGAGGGATAAACCACTATCGTATTACATCTACAGCCCTGTGATTCGCTGACAGGCTCCTCAGCTCAATGAAGTCACTATCATTGGGATTTGTAGTTTGTTATGCAGCCTGTCAGGCAAAAGCTGCGTCATTATCACTACTAGTCAGTTCTTTGCTCGATTTATTCAGTTCTTTTTTCTTATGCACCTATTCTTAAGTGCCACTAACTCCTCAGCCCTTTCCCGGCCATCTTTATGCTAATTTTAAGATGAACTCCGAAAATATATTTATAAAAGGAGTTGATTGCAGCGGAACATTTTCTGATTCCTTAATCACAATCTTGCACTAGACTAGACTGAATGGCGTTCAAAGCAACAATAACTAAATAGAACAAGGTCACAAAATAAACTTGGTGCTACCTACAATTCGCACAAAGTTATGTTTTTCGGTGTATTAAGCTATTTTTGATCTTTGGCAGATGTTTTTTCAAAGAACAGTTGACGCTAATCATGCTTGTTGAAGTGCGGCAACAAGCCAGTGAATGTCTATAGGATGGTCTGCAAAGAGAAGGAAATCGTGGATTCGTTGGAATCAGCACCATCGCACGAATGAAAATCCCTCTTTAAATTTATCTACGGAGTAATTCGCTTAATTATGGTCTAAAATAATTTAGCAAAATACTCCCATTTTCCTCTATTTTAATGTACGACCACTTTTTGATGTCGTGCTAATCAAGACCGACCCTGACACGTCAGTCTCGACTTATTATTTTATTATTCGTAACAGTAAATGATCTTGTTAGACAATACGAGAAGTCTTCGAATTGTCTACATCGACGGATTCTGATCAGTGCCTTCTGCTACCGCTTACTGCACATTCTACCTTCTCCTGCCTTACAACACTTTGTACACGTTTTAAAGGAAGGCAGATTCTGTAGCTTTGGGACCGAGTGGAATGCAGTTCGAAAAGCAGACAAGCTTGACTCGCAGCCATTAGGTTCAGCAGACATGCTGTGGGCGGACAAGTGGGGAGATGGGCAGGTGGACAAGTGAGTAAACTAGTGCAAATTCATCTTTGCTTTGTGATAAACATAGATGAACCAACTCATAAATATGGCAGGTTTCTGCGAGTTACAATGAGCCAGTGCAATGAGATGAGAGAATGCACGTAAGCTATTTGAGTCTGTTGATAGATTCCACATTGTTGTGGTAATTTTAAACAACTGCAAAGTTATAGTAGAGTACGACATCATGGGTACTAATGTAATCATTTTATTGTTTGTTCGACTCTTCGTTTTAGTTACGCGGGCAATCTGGGCTCCGCCTTTGTACCTCCTCTGGGCGGTATGGTCTCTTTTGACTTTAGGAAAGACTCTGTATCTAGTTTTGCAACCAATCTTCGAAGAGTAATACAATATTTGTAGCTACGTTATCTTAGACTTTGTAGCGCTTTTAATGGTTACCCAAATTCTTTTACCCCACAAGTGGAATTAGAGAAATTCACCTTCATCTTAAGGAGATTCAACATGTTTTCATACCTGGCACCAATGTAACTTTACTTTTCTTTTAATCATTGCTTAATAGAACCAGTTTAAGAGTAATGAGCTTACCTTGAGGTAGTGTTAAAGGCAATCGTCGATTGTGCGTCACAACCCTACCTTCCATGTTTCGTAGGAAAGGGAGGGAGTTCTTCATGTAAACATATATGGATTTGCTGAACTGTACAATAATGGGCCGGATTTGTAGCAAATTTCGTCAAAGTTGGTGGATATACAAAAGTGGACCGCTAGTCCGCCGCTATGGCCATGAAGAGCATTACCCATTCTTTTCGGTATTAAGTTTAAGAAATGTATAGTACTTTTTCGGACTAAAAAGATGTTATGAGGTTTCTTAAAGGATAGCTATTTGAGAATATGAGGATGTGTACCACGTGTTCAATGCTCGAGTCGTGGGTTAAGCCTTATTTTAATGAATTCCTTTAATTTTCACAAAGACGACCACCTACCTTGTATGTTCGGTAGATTGTATTGTCCCAATGCTGCTCTGAAGACGAGAGGAGGCATGGTACTTGGGCAGAATATGTATTGCCAGGGTAGAGAAGGGCTGGTGGCTACTGGCATGGCCCGAAGGCCATAGCGCCCAGTGGAGGTACAATGGCGATGCCCAAAGTGCCCGCGTGATCAAAATGAAGAGCTGAACAACCAAACAATCTATTACAGTGTATTAAGGAGTCTTTTTCTTTTTTTCCACGCTTGGATGGATGGTAATAACGTTGACACCGGTCACATAAACTGACCTACTTTTCTTGTGCAAAGTCTTAGGGGCAATGTGGTAGGCCATACGTGAGCTCTTAAGGTGGATTTTACGAACAAGTAAATACTTCAGATCATTCAAAAATGTGGAGACTTTTAATTTGGTATTCGTTCAGGTCTATGAGCATTCAATCAGTAAACGAAAACTAACTTATTATGAATGCCGACTAACTCACGAACAAACCGGCGAAGAAATGGAGCAAGAGACGATTTTTTGTGTGCCAACGGTACAGGCAACAGAATCATTTGCTAACATTTGCAAGTTCAGAAGGTCATCGGACTCGGGAGGCCACGAAATCCATGACGAAGCGTGGTTCCAGAACACCCCAGACATGGTGACTAGCCTTAGTATATTTGAGCCTTCCAGGTGCTATCGTGATAAATGTAGCAGCTAGCGGTTCATGTAAAATTAAAATTCCAAGTTTAACTTAAAAGCTCTATAACTGATTTGGGTTTGTTTAACGCAACTTCTATTAAATAGATACCATTCTTGTTCAAATTTGCGTTGGTAGCGTAAAATTGGGGGCCTATTCACCTTCAAGTTGCGCCACTTTGGCTTTTTGACACGTAACTGGCCAGAGGATTCTTGATAAATGCCCTGTTGAAGTGTCTCGGAAGAACATCAAGCATCACAGTCTAGAGGTTTAGTAATTCACTACAGTGAGGATGTTCACACCCTGGACAAGACTCACCGCCTTCATTGTTTTACATCCAAATAGCCTGTTTGCGGTACGATTTATTGTTACCGATGGCCTAAGCTGAGTAAGAACAAATGTCACTTATATGTGACACTGGTAGTAAACATGGTAAAAAACAATAAAATTAAAAGCAATTCCACCCGAATCGTGTATTTTTAACCCACTCAGAAAATTGCTAAAGGAATGATTTAATGAATATTTGTTAAGACTGCTGAATAAGTTGGATATTACGGAGTTGCCCTTGGTTGCAAAGTGGTCTCTCGATGGCGACGGATTCTAATAAGTGGTGTTTTCTCCCTGTCCACAAGGAACCTATCAGTAACAATCGGTATAAAACCTTTTGAGCCACTCAACTGTGACGAAGGGGGATTTGTTCCCAATTTTCGTCACTTAATGTTACATATGATTTAGTCTTCACGCTAGTGGTTCGAGGCCCAGTACATAGCCCCTTCAAGCGTCATACACCTTGTGAAGCCATCGGAGACAGGTCAAGCACTACGTCATTCACTTGGGATATCACAAGCCGGCGTCTTTCTCTTGAATCAAATGCAGAGGATTGACTCACAATGATTCCCCTATTAATAACCTTAATGACCTTGATGTGTTAGGTAGAGTCTGTGCAAATGGAGGTACCTGGACGACACAGAGTGCTCCCAAGTAGCTAGCCACAAAGGCTGTGGTGTAACTTATAGGGGTTACAAACTCCCTCTCTCCAACCATCCCTGGTTGCTGACTAAGACAACAACTCTTACAGATTTTACAAGGGAGACGAAATGGCCGCAATTAAGTGAATGCCGGGAAGCCGACATTTTGGCAAAAATTTATTAAACCCTAATCCAACACTTTAATCCTATCTTTTTTTTTGCTTCAGCCCCGAAATCATCGAACCACAGCATCTTCTGTAGCCAAAACCCCTGCTCAAGGTTCGCACTTATGTTGGAAAAACAGCGCCTTTTCCTTTTTATGAGTCTTTAAGTTTCCTTTACGCTGAATTATTAAGTAATTAGCTATTAAATGACAACTTCGCTGTCTACTTCATGTTGAAGTCTTAAAAACCTCGCCATTTTTCCCATTCCGGATTCGAGGCTCATCGCTTTCATTATGTACTCCTTTAAATCAAGTATCCCATGAAAACGAGGATGGCTTGTTTCCTTTAGCAATTTCGGCTTTGTCTTTAGTCGAACCGGCTTTTCGTGAGTCGAATACCCACGGGCCTGGTACCCCTGCTCTTTGGCGCAACGGGCATTGCCGTTCAGGGGTACGTGTGATTACGAACATGGAGGTGCTCGCTGCCAGCTAGTGAAATTTCAACCAGAAGCCTTAAGGACGTCTGACCCTCCAGGGTAAAGATCTGTAGTGTCTCATTTGGAGTACGGGGCGCGTTCCACCAGGTCACCAAGATTTCCGACTCTCGCCGTTTAATGACTTCTCAAATGACCTCGCGGAAGTATAAAGCGCATCCCCAAGAGGTTTGGCTAATCAGGAGAGAAGTAACGAGAGTGTAGATTCCGACCGCTTTTAGAATGTTAAGAATAAGGCTCAAAAAGAGGGACTTCAAATTCCCAAATCAGAAACTTCTAAAAACTTGAAACAATACCTTTTTCTGGGGTCGTAAAGATTCTTCTCAGTTTTCAGTCTTCAGTCAGAGCGATTTAGCAATAACTTTTAGAGGTCAGTCACTGAGCCATCGGAGGTAAGGAATTAGTGCCAGAGTGAATATCAACCGTATGTTAAATAAAGGCATCTCTGTATACTCGTGAACTTTCCACAACTACCCACTTTCCTGATAAATAATACGAACACACACTAGATAACCTTACCTGAGAGAAGAAGAGTAATTTTTGCACAGAGGAGGATGTTAACCTCGAGGTTGGTCAACTACCTGGCCGCATCTGAATCTAACATTGAAAGCTCAAACTAGAACTCCTAAAAGACGTCAGTGTTATGGAAGTGCCTAACAAATGGACTTCTGAAAACCCCATGCATCGTCTTAAAGTAGTGACGTTTAACAATTCTTAAAAAGTGATTATTTTCATGATCAGGCGAATAACGAAAGTGCCCGCAGTCGCTAGAGTACTGTCAAGCGGGATGCATGGACAACTTATCCCTTATTCAGAAACTACTCGATGGAGGTTCACTGCCCGTTGATCTAGCACTTTCCTGACTGTAGGCTACGCGAACTGGCAACCGAGAAAAAAGGAGGCCACGCATTGTGAAATCATCCCAGGCTGATACTACCCAGTAAGATCCAAGGACTTCAGCTGCGTCTCAAGATTCCTCAGCTTGACAAAACAGATTGGCAAAAAGTGGCCAAAAAATTCCATGGACAAATCACCACTACCATTAGCAGTCGAAAAACCCATTACCCTTTACGATGCACTTTTTTCAATTTGTCAAACGCTATCAGCTAACTGCCCGGTGGAAAATTGTCCAGAAAGCCTTTGAAAACATTCCATGGTAGTGAATGGAATAGAATATCACACTAAAAATCTCACAAATTGCAACCTAAATTAATACATAAAAATCGTTCCCAACAGGAAGGAAACAACTCCAGCGGGCCTGATATAGTTCTCGAATGTCGAAGGAAAATTGTGATTTTAAGGATACCACCGAAAATAAGCAGATAATTGCATCAATTTATTAAAAACACAAATTCACGTTATACTTAGGACGTCAGAGTGCCACTTCCAATAAAAGTAAGGAAAAAGAGGCGGGTGTAGTAGTCATGTAGAAGGCTTGGATTCCTCTGCTGCATGATTAACAGCCCCTTCGGACACTGCAAAATATTCTAATCCAACTTTGTTGAGAACGCATATGTGCTAAAGGAAGGGGTAAACTTGTTATATGAGGTAGCTAAAATGAATGCACCAGGTAGCGGGAAAATAGCTTACATGGAGGTCTCTAAAATATTCGTTATAATCCAGAGCGTAGCCAACAACAAAATCGTCTGGGATTTCAAAACCGGCAACTAAAACAGGATTATTTGACTATAGCAGACTTTTAAACGCAGAAAAAAATGGATGAGCATTACACTTACAGCAAGGTCGGTATCCAGAACTACGGGGGGTTCTCTTAACCAGGAGACTAAAGAACATAAAAACATGTAAAAGTAAACTCGATGGAATTGCAGAAGAAAAATTGCAACTAGGAAGTTACCAGACATCAGTGACTGATTTGGCATGAAGAGTACTCAAGTACTTGTTGAGTCTGCACATAGTTTTTCCAGAGTCAACAATATCTTCCACAATCAAAATATCCTAGAGAGAATGGTCTGAAAAGTTGCAAATGAACTGACTTTGCCCTTGTAAATTGAAGGGTCATCAACACCAGTCAAGGTAATGGAATCGGTAGAAGAAGTATTCTAGTAATCAAGATGACAGGAAACCCAATCAACTACCAAATAACTACGAATTCGTACGAAATCGGTTGAAATGGGGATGAGAGTGCCGCGAGCACGAATTGTCCGCTCCATGGCATCAATAAGATCAACGCAGAATTTAAAACCACCCTTCAGGACACAGATTGCAATGATGTGCTGGACCTTTTGCTTCTCATAGTGCTCAACAATCTCCGAAGCAACCTTCTCAATTCGATCCTTAATCAGGCCATTTGGAATCATAAGTCTTTCCAGGTAATCACGATATTTGGGGGAAACGCAAAAGTGTGAAATCTCATAGGCTTGATAGTTGTCAGGAATCACTACCACAGAGGTAGGCTTATTCATCGGTTGGGATTCAATTTTGGTAGCCGTGGGAAAGATATGCAACTACAAAATAAGAATAAAATTAGTGTAACTGTGTTTCTTTTGTTAACTAAAGTTAACACATTTAGCGACGATATAATTGAACAACTTCAGCGTTTTATCCACGATAACGACAAATGACAAGTCGATGTAGGAGGGACCTCACCAAGGACAAGCAAAGCAAGGCAAGGCACAGCAAGTGGCAAGCCAGCCGGGAAAGCGACCTTAAACATTGTATGAGTAATCAGCATCATTTAACTAGCAAAAATTTGAAAAAGGTCGGTATTTCTCCAACTGTCCTAAATGCATTTCCATTATAAGTGTTAAAAAGAACGCAGAATTTATTGCAATCAAACTTGCATACGCAGAAATATTATTGAGGCAAAATATGCTCAGTGAAGGATGGTGTTTAGAATTCTTGTGACAATAAGAAGACCTAACCAACTAATTATCAAGACAACCCTTAAAAAATACTTAAAAAACCGCATACACCTATAAGCTATAATAAGGTGTCTGAGCCCAGAAAAACATGGATCCAAACTCCATCTTCAAAATGGTCCTCATGATTAGTCTTAGCTGGGCGAACGATTAAAAAAGGGTAAATATAACAGATTTTGTGATAAGTAGCTGCCTGTGAGAAGTATTAAGCATGCGCGAGTAAGGCAACTTGATAATTTGCTTAACAAGGGAATAACAAAATCTTTTAAGCGTTCAAGTTGGCTCGGAAACGCAACCAATCTACTACCCCATTGGTCTCTCATCATTTCTCTCCGTTAAAAATAAGGCCTTGCATGCATTAATATGGCTCACCACAACTTCAAGAATACTTGTGGCACTACCTATTACTTGCTTATTACACCATTTTAATTTAACAACTACCGAAGGATTATTTTGCCCAATGCCTTTGCAAGAAGGGCTTTGAAAATAAACTTGCGATGCTCATGATGCTTAAATTTACCATCTAGAGAAGAAGCGGGCCGTCGACTTAAAGCCCATGATTGGGGATTGGTCGGCATCCCCGAATCAGAGGCGGGTTCAGCAATTCGGACTTTCCAGACCTGCATCAATCCCCAATTCTGCTAACCAGCAGATATGTACCAGTTTAATGTGTTTCTTTGTACCACAGGTATGTAGACTAGAAAAGAGGAGCTAAATGGGGATCGTCCTACATAATTGTTAACTTTTCCCTATATTACAGACATGACGCTGTGTAGCATAAAAATAACAAAATCTATGCCATTTTTAGTTTGTTTAAATGGAGGCTTTTATTAAACATTAAAATAAATTCTTTTTCTGACTGGTGTTGTTTGTCTGGTCAAATGCATTTGAATTCAACCAATAATACTTCAGATTTGTACACAAAGGTTTAAACCGCACATTGCGCTGTCAAAGAGGCGCGTGGTTTGGCTCCTCTATTCTGTGCACTGTTTTGCCGCGTTCATTGCTAGACGTCTCCGACGCGTTTTAACCCTGCATGGTTTTTGTCGGTCATACAGCTTTTAGTTAGGCGTTTATTCCCTCTTTTGGGGTACCGCCACTCATGTGTGATTCATTATCTTTCTATTTGTGACCTCGTATTTAAATTACCCGCTATTGCTTGCTCTAGCATTGGCCAATCGGATTTAAGTCACATTACTCAATGGCGTGGCTTCAGGCGGCTTAGTTGCTTTTCGAAGCTTGGAATCGGCTTCAATGCAAATCGGTATCTTGGTCTATTCAGCGTTGGTTTTTAGGCACCTTGTGTCTTATAGCCTATTCGTGAATTGCCTCAGTTGATTTATTAGCACTTACTTGCTTGTTTCACATAATAGGGTCAGGTGTTGCTGTCAGGAGCTATTTTAAAAGAGGAATCTGTGTTTAATTTACTGCGATACGGTCTTATTTTCGCCTAACTCATTTCCCTCTTTTTCAGTCTTAAAATTCAACTTGGTTTCTGTAAGAATGGTTCACAAACGGCGTCCCTCGAAGGGGTCACAGATGATTAACGAGTCTCAAACCCAGTTTCTTTCCCTGGATTGCGATGAGAACATCCTCCAGTCCATCATCCATAACATTGATGCTATTCATCAGGATGTATCCCTACTCGATTTGGAAAATTCCCTACTTCCATCTTCCCACCTCCCAGTTCTTGATGTTGACGCAGCTCAAATAAAACACGGTCAACAGTCTCATTTCCCACTTTCCTCCGGCAACAAAAAAACAGCTTCCCGAGTGCCGAACTTGCATTTGCCGCGTTCTATCGTCCCGCAATCAGACATCTCATCCCTCCAGCACTATGTCCTAATACCCAATTCTGCTCTTAATCAGACCAAACATTTAACGTCGTTTAGTGACGTTCTGAATGCTCCGGAACGGCCAGAAGGCAGATACACAATAGCGATGGAGGCGGAGCGTGAAGCCACTGTAATTAAAAAGGTCAACAAACTTATTAAACGTGGTTTGTGGTCGCGGAACCGACTGCCAAAGGTGATGGAACCCTCACAGCCACTCTGCCACTGGGACCATCTTTTGGAGGAGGCCCGTTGGCTAGCTGAAGACTTCAGACAGGAGCGGCTGTGGAAGAAGGCCATCGCAAAGAAGGTGAGGTCCCGCAAAAAAACACGATAAGCATTTAATTCCCCTTTACTTCCAGCTCGCCGACGCGGCCATGATGTTCTGCATGATCGGTTCAGAGTTAGCTCGAAGGAACGAAGAGGAGCTGGAGGATTTGCGCCGACGTGGCGCTGCAATGATTGCCAAAATGGTGCAAGACTGGTGGTCGGGCGTTTCAGAGACCGCGAGAGCGCTTTCACTTCTCTCCGAACAGCGCCAGTGGTGTGCAGCGTTACGACGGAACCGCGTTTTCCTCACTCAATTCACTGATGTCGGTGCTAATTGGATGTCCGAGGCAATTTCTCGGTCATCGCGTCCGCCGACCTCACCTCCTCTTTCAGCGTCAAAACAGGCAATACCGCTGGTATCGACTGTGGTTCTAGAGGAGGAGGGGGTGGATGAGGAGTGGTTACCTCCAAGAAGTAGTGCTAGTAGTACCCTTAGCGGAAGTGTCGAGAGTCTCCCAGATGCGGGGGTGCAATTCAGTCCCGATGGCTTCTCGTGCGGTCTGCAATCACTTACGGGGACAGTAGCGTCGATGTCACTGGACTCCTCACACAGTGAGGGCGACAGCGAAGACCAGATTTCTGTGTCCACTGACTCCTCTGCGGCCTCCACGTTGGCCACGGATCAGGAAGATTTATCTCAACTCATTTCTGACGCTACTTTACCTCTGAATGAGGTCTTAGAGCCCTATTTGTCTAATGGATGGCCTCTACAACCTCCCCTTACTGAACCGCACACTTGGGATACGGTGAGTGTTTAACACTTATCAATGCTGATTGCTCAACGTATTTTAAGTCAGATGCTAAGGATATTGAACGATGAAATAGATGTTTTGCTGAAATTGGGTACTCATTTGATAAATTTCCACCCTTTAAGAATATAAGTTTTATGTATGATGAGTATTTGGAGTAGTCTCCTGAACCATTTAAATTAATGGTAATTCGAGTTCACCTCACTTGATTAAATCGCTTTCTCATTTCTTTCTCATGAAATCTTAAACATTTCCCATAAATCTGCTGCATTGAGGCGTGTTTTTTTTTCTTATGCCATCGTGACTAACTGCTTTATAATCCATTAAGCAATTATCGATACTCATCTAGGCTTGAGGTTATTCAAGGTCATCGCTCACGATCGCCATCACACGTTCTCAGTTGTGAGTACACCCATGTTTTACCACACTAGATGCGGTGTAATTGCCTGATCCACTTTTTTGAGCATGAATGTGTACATCTTAACTAATGACACCCGTTATCTCTCCACAGGAATCGTCCTACCAATCGATCGTGAACGCTCTTCGCCACGAAGCAACACTGCCCCTTCGGCAGCTTCTACCCCCTGGCTACCATCCCATCATCCCCTCCGCTCTCGGAATGAACGGGTCAGATGGTATTCCGGTACGCCGTCGGCAGCCTTTACGTCGATCTAACCGCCCTGCTCTTGTGAACGGCTGTTCACCCCACGATGAAACTATGGACGTGATGGCTGATGGGGTGCTGGATGATGAGATAGATAGGGAGGGTGAAGTGAGATCGGAGACGTCGGCAGAAGCTGACTCCATGGAGATTGATGGGTGTCCTTCCGACTCGGAAGTTTCAGTGGCCTCTTCATCGATAACGGCGGCTGCGCATCTCTGGAATTCTACAACCGATTCGGCAGCGATGCCGGTGACGTTGTCGCCCGGCGAATTGGCTAGAAGAGCGCGAAAACTGTCACATTGGAGGACACAGGCTCCCTCCAGACGTCTCCTTCAGTCGCGTTTGCCTGCTTTTGGACCTACCTGTCGAGTGCCTTTTCTGCCCACCTCTAATCTCTGTGAGTGTTCAGTTCGGCAGTCTTTTTGGAAATGGAACAGAAGTCATTGGGTCAGTATGTGGACCTCTGAAAAGAATCCTAAATTGGATTTCCGTCTATTGTCCTTGAACTTCAATCAGTGTTTCTCCCGCTTTGATTTTTTCTGTACTGTTGTGGGTCTTTTAGAGACCATTTTTATATTTTCATGTTTCATTGACAAAACTAATGCCTTAATTATTAACATGCCCATATTCCATTTGCCACCTCAAGCTAATGAGTTCTCCTTGTATCACATAATTTGGTAGCTAAGGTTGTCTATTTTTGTAACTTTTCCCAACAAGAAACCTTGTTTCTATTGTTATTTTAAGCTTTTGTTTTAGAAGTGGGGAGGTTATTAGTTTAGAATCGTGGTACCTGGCTATTTTCAGCTTGTTTTTTTTTTAATTTTTCTTATCGCTTTGAAGTAGATTTTTCATAGTTTCTTCAAAGCCGTTTTTGGCGTTTTCGGATATCTTTCAATTTTACCCATACTTTTCGAAATGGAATGGGTTTTATCGTATTTCCGTTCCATGACGTCTTGCGTTTAATGCAGCAGATAATAACGCCATCTGCTTCAAATCCCTTTCTCTGCCGCTGACTTTGCACCAGTTGATTTAACTTCAAATCTACTCTTTACTTATTAGGTTCTTTCAATGAGTTTGGGACTTCCCGTCGTTACCTATTATCGTTGATTCTTCCTTTTTTGAAAGTGGTAAAATCTATTGCATGTAATTACATTTGCCAATCTTTTGGTGGTTGGTCTCTACGCCCACCCGTCTCGTCAACCCCTTACCCCCACTCTCTCTCTCTTGCTGGATACGTCTATTTTGTAACCTATTTCGCTTAAAGTACTCGTAGGGCTTAACTTTGACCGCTGCCCATGTCGGTGCCGTTTCTTCTCATACCCTGTCGCGTGTTCCCATGAACGTTTAGCTGCGTTACTTCTATCGTTGATCTTATTTTGCTGTAAGTGCTAGTATCTTTTTTATTTTCTGTGGACCGACTTTTGTCATTTTTCGTATCGGTTTAAGGTGAAACTAGTTTGAACAGGTTTCATTATTACTCAATGTTTTTCTGACTTGTTATTGCAAAGGTATTTGCTCATGCAAACTGTTACAAACGCGGAGGCCTAATTAGAAGTATTTGTTCTGCTTGCGACGAGGTCTTTAAAAAATTATCATTGTTTTGGGGGACGTTGAATATTTTTGTTACGAAAATAACAGCACGACGTACTTGAAGTTAAGGCATCATTAATAAGTCGTCAAGTTTTCTAATCTTTCTGTTGAAATACCTGACATTATTAGGGACCCTTGTTTTTCCCCTAATTGGTACCGTCAGTCGATATTTGCACAATTCGTTTCTGGCTTGGAGACTACCCGTCGATTTTATTACTTTAAAATGTTATTGTTAACAAATTTCAGAAAGTTATCACTGCGATCCTGTCATCGTCACGAGATTACTCGGGCGTTGGGAAAAAGTCGTTTGTTAATTAAGGATTTCAAGTTTCTTCGAGCGAAAGCTCGACTTTTACGTCTAAATGTAACTACTGCGAAAAAAATTTTAAATATGATGCATTGTGGAAATTGGTTGTTCCGTGTCGGACTCAAAATCAGCTCGCTGGTCAAGCAGTAAACCTTGGACGTTGAAGATAAACGTTAGATTTTGCCAAAATTGCGAGTATGAAAACCCGTAATGGTTAAAGGTTTTTTAGCCGGTTTGTAATCCCACCATGCTTAATAATTTTAAGACCTACTCTCAAAGTAGGTACCCTAACAAAGTGAAAGTTGAAATATTATGACCACAGCGACGCTGACAGTGCATCTTCACAAGTGAGATGCCGACAGTAATGAATCTCCCAAACTTATCCTCCTTTCCCAACAGATTCTGGGGTCTCGTGGCTGAGCGCTACCTACTCTCACCAAGTGCCCACCTGCCTAGTCACCTACTCCATGCCTTCCGCCGATGCGGAGCTCTGTCTTGCCGTTCACATTGGCCAGTTGGCGGTGTCCAATGCCGATGGTAACGGTATTGGTGACTGGGGACCCCACCTCATTATCTGCCCTACCGTCCTTCTGCCCGCCTGGCGCGCCCGCCTCGCTGCGGTGTGCCCGGGCCTCCGCGTCCACTGCGTGCTAGCCAACTCGCGTGGAGGCACTGGGCGACGCTTGAAGTTGGGCATTGCCCAACAGAGTATCCACATCTGCCTGACGACCTATGCGGCGCTGAAGTCACGACCCTCGAGATTTGAGGGTGTGCACTGGCATTTGGTCATTCTGGATCAGGTAAGCTTTCATCGAATCTGGTGTAAGCATTACTTTCTTGTTAATCTTTTGATCTTTCTTTGACGCCTGGTTTGAGGTACTTTATTTGCATCTTGGACTCACAAATACGTTATCTTCAAGTGTACCATTAGATCAGTGTCTCCCGTCTCCTTCGGTGTCTTGTTTCCAACCCATGGCTTTGCTGCACTGCTAACTTCACTCCTCATTTACTTAATTTGGGGTTAATTATCGAATCAACCTTGGACGATTGTTCGTTTTTTTTTTACTTGAAGCCAAACATTTTACGTGACATTCGATTAGTTTATCATCTTGATCCTATGCTATCCTTGTTGAATTTCTAAACAGCTAGTTCTTCCGTCAGCTGGTTATTTTACATTTAAAATTCAGTCACTACTTGCTCCTCTTTGAATAGAATGAATCCCCTTGCTATTCTTCTCTTCTCTAGCGTTTGACATTTTCTCGTCCTGTGCGTTCCTTTTATATCTCCAAATATGTTGATTGGTCCATTGCTAGTTGGTGATTAGCCAGCGTTGTTGACGCTTGCTTTGGTTAGCTTTCTCCCATTTCCTGTCGAGTTTCTTCTTAACACTGATCTCTTCGGGTGTATTCATTTCCTTTTTCATATGGTTTTTCCGAGTACTCCTCTTTATCTTCGGCAAATGCTTGTGCTGAATTCCGTAAGACCGGAAAAATTATTGCCGCACCTTTCCATCATCTCCCTTTCTACATTTGAAATATTGATGGAGTGCATTTTAGATTAATTCTTGAGGGGCGGGGGTGTTGATATATTTCCTCATTGAATACAAAGTATATCGACATCGGCAACCTTTTTTCAAATGCTTCATTAAATTATTTGTTGAATTTACTAGGTAATTAAAAGTCAAGCCTTATTGACAGAGCCCTATTTATCAATGTCCAAGATATCCCAAGGCTATTTGAATGTAACTCAGCCGGCTTAGATTCCTTTTTTTTGAAATCAGCCGCGATACCTTTTATTTTGTCTCCTTTACTTGACCTGTCATCAACTGTTCTTGTTAGCGTAATTACAGGAATAATTGGCTTCGAGGTTTACTAAATCTCCTTATTTACCTCCTTCTCAATGACCCGGGGTATTATTTATCCCCTTTTCCAGGTCTCCCTTTTTTGGTGGTCGATAACCCCCATACTGTTTCAAGGTCATTACAGTTTAGCTTTTGCCAATTGAGTGCTAAATAAGCAAATTTTGTCACTACTAGAAATGGCGGTCAGACAAAAACGCTAAGCTAACCCACTAAAATTATTTAAATCTGCCTCACCTTTTTCGGCCGATTTTTATCATCCTTCGTCTGAATTTGCCCGATCTACCAAGTTTACTAACCTCATCAAAATTGTTCACACTGTTGCATCATCCACATCGTTGCAATAAAAAGAATTATTAACAACAAAAACGGAATCGGTGCATCCAGGCGCATCAGTGGCGTCAAAAGCTTTGTTAAAATCATCCAAGATTGGATCTTAAGTCCATCAGAAGTTCATACATTAAAATTTACTTCCTTTTAATAATTGATGGTGCTTGTTTCGAGTTCGTGCCATGCGTACCACCAGTGAGGTTTTTTCATTGTCCAGGAGTGGTGATTAATCTATGCTGCCAGACTTAAAAGCTAAAATTCGTTTATGGGCGATTCATTTATCACCCTTCAGCTAATTTCAGTCGATCTTCTAGAATTGTTCAAATTCTTGTTCTTCGTTCACACCTTTCTGCGCCACGCATATCGGTACAAATCGAAAGAAAACGAATTACCATCTGGATTGTTATCGAAGGTGTGGAAGTATCGCATCGATTTTGTACAAGACCGGTGGTTGTCTTAGGTGGATGCACGCGTTTCACTTTTGCTTGTTAATCTCGTCACTCAGTTGTTTACCGATCCCTTCAGCGTCGTTTCGCTTTCGCCCTTTGCAATGTCTGTTGGCACACACGATGGGGTTGGGACTTTTTTTTGGCAACTAAATGATACCTCAATAGTGATTGTCAATTCGCCGTGCATGTCTTGCTTCAATGAATGCTCCTGTTACTATAGTGACTTCACTGGAGCTTAGTTACGTAAACTAAGCGAATCTAATAGCGTTTCTGAATCGCCTTGTATCCGAAAGTTTAGTCCATATTTTAATTCTCAAGATTGTTCTCGCTTAATTTTTCACTGGCAAATAGTGAATTAAACTTTCCGACCTAATTTACTCGTTCGATTGTTTTCATGAGACGACCTGAGTTCATTCTATTAATAGTTTTTAAAATCCTGTGATACGCACTTGTATTTCTTCTTTGTTGCTTACTATTGCGAATCCTAAAGTCTCCCATATCCTACTTAATTTGTCACCTTACAGCTTAGGCCATTTGGCTCTAGCGTGCTCCCTTACCAGCTGAATGGGGCATCTTCAGGGACGGTTGCCTTGGTAGCGACGAAGATTTGGTTCTGCGCTGCATGCAGCTGAATTTGTAGATCTTGTGAAATGTTTTTTGGGTAGGAGTCGGTTACATCAAGGACGTCATTCGTCTTCTGTTCTCGCTTTCGAGAACTAAATACTGTGAAATATTCTTGAACGAACTTTCCTGTTCTTTGTCATAACTAGGATCTTATCTATCGGCACATATTTAGAAAGCGTTGTTTTAGAAAAAATTCGCTATAAAGATAATCTTAGAATGCGGGGAGACCTAAATTCTGGTATAATTTTGGTCATTCTAACATATCTTGGTTATTTTCACTTCATCCTTATAAATTTTTGCATCCATTTCGCAAATCTAGTGCTTGGTTAACTCTTTAGAGTAAACTGAACTTTGAACGCAACGTTCTTTTGGGGAACTACCGTTAAATTATTTTGCTGATAAAGGTTTGGTCTATGTGCCTTCGGTGAAGAACGGTTTGAATCGGGACAAGAGGCATTGGATATGCTTAAACTTTGATGTGATCCCAAATTTTCATGATTACATCTTCAGATCACTACTTTCCCGGTATTTTCGCTTATTTGGTTCTCAGTGGTTGGGGTTTTGGTCCAGCGTCGAGGAAGTTAAGGCAAGCGGTGTGCTTGGTGTTTTGGGTTAAGAGTTGGCGGTTTCGCGTTTGTCGGAATTTATTTCTTTTAAAAACGCTGAATGCACATTACACTTGTTTAACAGGTTCAACACCTCATCAATCCTTCACCGTTGCATGGTGACAACACGACCATTTCGCACACGGGCACAAGCGAACAGGGCAATGTCATCGGCAGTTGTGGTGGAATTACGGGTGAGTTATCGACTGGGAACACCAATCCCGCACACCACCCCTCAGAGACCTCTATCTTCCCCGATCTTGTTCGCCTTCTTCTCCACCGACTCCTGCCCTCCGCCCGCCAACGTGTCTGCATTTTCACCGACCTCTACGAACCTCGTACTGCTCATCTGAAAACCCTCCTCAGTCTCCTCCTTCAGTCATCTTGCAATATTGGCGATGACGATAGTAGCTTTGTTGAAGAGGTAGTGCGACAGGCATCCCTGATTAAACCAGAGCAGGGTGCTGTGGCAACGCGGGACGAGGTAGTGCGAGCCTTAGAACCCTTCCTCTATCGCTTTCTTGATGAGGAAGAGGATGAAGATGAGGATGAATCAGCAACGAGAAGTAGTAATCGAATAGAGGACCTAGTTCGGATTGATGTCATCTCTGACCATCTAACCGACCAACAACGCGCTCTCCACGACCGCATTCTAACCGATAAAACGTAATTCGTTTTTTATTGTTTATGTGTGCTTTACTTTCTTATTGCGATTTAAAACCGCTTTTTCCGCCATCTTCAGTTGTGAACGTGCAGTGAGGTCGGGTCACCTCTCTGATCTCCTCATCTGTCTGTCAGCGGGTGCGCGCCTCTGCTCTCACCCTTGGCTTCTCAGCTGTTTCGATGAAGCCGCGCAGTGGTTGCTGCAAGATCGACAACCTGCGTTCTCTCCTCCCCTCATTGCCGTCCCTGGTCTGCGTTTTGATGGACCTGCATCTCTTTTGTCGCTACGACGCACAGATGATGAAATTACACAGTTTATGTTGTACCTCCCATCAGCGCTACAAGCGCCGGCGCATGTACGTTCACGATTGATGCAATTGTTACCGGATGCGGAGCAGTTGAAACACTCACTGATCACACCTCGCCCCTCGAAGCGGGCTAGTGAGAACTCTGGGGTCTCCTTTTCGGCAATGAAGAGACTGCGGAGGGCACAGGAAGTGACAGCGCTGGAGGGGACAGAAGAGCAGGAAGGACCTTTCATCACTCGGGATGCTCTCCGAACGGTTCTCTTGGAGACGGCGAAAGCGTTGTACGCAGCGAATAAAGGTTGGATGGTTTGCTCCGTTACGTTACTGTCCTATTATAATTCTGGATTGGGAGTGGTTGAATTTGCGCGATTTTATTCGCTTTCAATTGTAAATGACTTACTCTTTCTACCCTGTGCCCACTTTCGCGTCGATTACTGCTGCTCTTGAGGTCAATGTTTTTTAGCTCTTTGGCCGTTTAATCTGTTAGTTTTTGAAAGACTCTTCTTAATGGTGTTATGGAAGGCATTTATAGAGACCAATTTGAAAGTACTTCAAGTTTTTTTCGGTTGAATCTTAAAATACTTTTCGTGCTTAGTCATGCATAAGCTTTGCTTCTTCATCCATGCACTATCTTCGGAATGAAAACCTCCCTATTCTTCACTTTGTCCTGATAATAACAATCTTTCCTGCGTAAAATAAGGCAATTTAGTAAAGGAGCGATTCTGGACCGTTCTTTTTTGGTAGAAAAATCACCGTCGGGAATATAGCTATCCTTATTTATTGTATTATATGTTGATTAAACCCTTTAATGTTCTTAAATAAGTTTTAGTTGCGGTAAATTTTGCATAACCATCTGATTGACAGTTTTACGTATCTGAAGTGTTTCCATACCATCTAATTTGTGTTTTCAAAACGAACTTAACATTTTATTTGCGTGTATTCACCGTCCTATCTGACTGCCGCTTTGCCTCTCAAACGACGTTCCTGGTATCGGTGAATTTACTTTCCTGCAACTGCCAACGAAGGAGTCATTTAATTTTGCTCTCACTTCTGTTATGGTTATTTTTCCAATGGTAGCTTCTTTTTTTGTTCCTCAAAGCCTTTGATAATCTTGAATTCAAATACATATCTTAATCAATTGTCAATTCTAATTTCTTGCTCCACTTCTTTTAGCCTCCGCCGAGCCCATGGGCGTTCAATTGAGTTTGCCGAGGGAGATAAAATCGCCCCTTCCTGTTACAACTGATCTCACCGAGCAGGACTCGTCCGCAGCTCCAAATCCCATCCTCATCGCTGAAGCCGAGGTGATAATCGCTTCCTTTTTCCCTTCTTTTGTCGTGTACACTACGCATTTGCGAAATTCGCCTTCCTTTTTACCCAGAGCCGGCTGCATCAATTGCTGTGGCAGTACCAACGAACTCGACTGGAACTGGAGGGTCACACAGACTGGTGCAGCGCGGCAACAATGAGTCGTATCCACGCCCTCTCACGTGAACCCTCTCTCCTCCCTTCTGGAGTCAATGTCTTCCCCGCTTTACCCTTCATCGATTCCTCCCCCTCCTCCGAGCTTTGTCGAGTCGTGCAGGACCGATTTGAGCAGTTGCCCTTTCTCAGGTGAGTTCGTATTTACGTTTGGATGATGTGTAGTCTAGCGCCTAAGTTGCTCCTGGAGACGCATGGACGTACCTTTATTTTTCGCGTATAGAAGCGCTTCATTGTTAGGTCTTAATATTATCAATTTTAAAGCCAAATTGCAGGAATGTGATTTAATTAAATAGCCTTCCTGCTTTCAGTCCTCTCCTTGATCGATCTTACACCTCGACTACCAAAGGGTAGTTTGGTTGGCTAGAACTAACTCCAAGTCGAAAGCGATTATGCGATGATCTTTCCCATAGGAGGACTTCCGAATTTATCAATGAATTTGATTGAATAATGCGCTGTATCATTGTCATACGAACAGAAGGGCTTTGAGCGCGGCAGCATTCGATGGTATGAACAGACTTCAGCACACTTCTGGATCTTTGTGTGGGGCTGCTTGGTCGCCGTTTTGAATTCTTTCTGCTTCAATACAGCTAGCTAGTCTCTGGTAATGTCCTTCCCTTTTGCCTTCTGCAGTTCGTCCTTCGGCCTACTTTGTACTCGTGACAGAGTTATTGGTCTGCCTTCACAGCTTTCGGATGTGTCCTCATGTCCTCAAACATCCGTGGATGTAAAGATGGCTATGGACCGATTTTACCCCCTCTTGTCCTCCACCCGGTGGCTTTCTCCCCATACAGTACCTCATCTTCTGCCCTACTTCCTCACCGCCTCTGGTACGTCACTTGGACGCTGAGTGTACCTAAGTTTGTATCCAATTTAGCGGTAACAGAATGGAAATTTTTCTTGAAAATAGTGATGTCAGACTCCAAAAGGACCCCATCGTTTTGGTAGTTGAAAGTTTTAATTTATTTTGTTCACAGCTAAAGTCATTTTTGAAATGCTATTTGGTCCGTTATTTTGAAACTCGGTGTTCGAAAGTTTATTCGATTATAAATTTTTCTCCGTTAAATGTTAACCTGTAAAGGATCTCCGTCCTCTTTCATTCTAAAACGTGTTTTTATATCGTCCATATTCGTGGTGATGCTTTTTGGGTACGTACTTTGACCAGTAAAATGGATCCTGTGAAAGACCAATTAGTTTTTAAGGGAGCTTTGGCGGTCGTTCAACACCCTATAAAGTTCAGGCATTTACTCATGAAGTGTTTGTTTTGTAACCGAAATTGTCCAAAATTTACTCCCTCCCCTTATCCTTCATAGGACGTGCATTATTTTGAATATTTACATCAATTTGTAGAATGATTCCACCCTTTTCCGTTCACCGTCTCAGTCGTATTTCACACTTAATCAGTTATGAAAAGGAATCAAATTTTGATATTCGTGACTTCTAAATGCACGTATTTGCTCACGAAATGGTCTAAAATTATGAATAAGCAATATCAACATCGAGACGCGGGAACATCGGCCGAAGTCATTAATCCACCTGCTTATGATAAGGTGCCACCCTAGGCCCCTAGTTGGACCAGACGCATTTTGGCTTGCTACCGTAGACTGTCGATGTGAAGCTATTTTTCCAAGGCTATTTTAAGTCAGTCCCAATAAACATTGAGAATATTTATAAAAAGAAGGAAAGATCTGTCCTAAAGTGTGGAACGGTGTCTTAATTTGGAAGATTGATTGATTTTTTAGGTTTTGTTACGCTTGGGATTTTCCAAGAGCAGTTTCAGATACCTCAATGCAGTAATGGGTGGAAATGGCATCTTAAGTTATTCACAGTCTGTATTCTGTGGAAAAGCAGAGGATGGATTCGATGGGGGAATGATTCTATTACCAATGGGGAGTTTCCATTCCAGGCAAAATACAACGGCTGCGCAGCCTTCTGCTCGATCTAGTTCGATCACCGTCACCACCGCCGCAACTTACTGAGACAAAATTGCCACAACAATGCCCAAATCGACGCTCTCTCTCTCGTCCCCGTGTCATCTTCCTCCTTTGTCACCGCACTGCATTCCTCGACCTCCTCGCCGCCTGGTTGTCCACCGATCCGTACCTGGCCAATCTTGCTCTGCGTCGCGCACCTATTGATCACCTAGATGCTGACGATGGAGCGAATTCGGTGATGCCAGCGGACGATGGTCGTGGCGGAGTTGGGGGATCGTTGTGGATGGAGCAGGTGAACGCCTGGCCTGGTGGCACTCAGGGTCCTCTCCTTGTTCTCCTCCATGCCCGTTCCCCACCTCTCTCTGTCGCTGGCTTGCGGACAGGGCCGGATACACGTCTCGTCATCTGCGACGCGGATTGGCGAAAAGATGTTGTCAGTACGGTTAAATCAAAGTACGGGCTCGACTTTTACGTAATTTTTTTTCTCTTTTAGATCCCTACTCAATTTTTTTGCTTTCTGGGAACTATTGGGAAAGATGCAACAGTTATAGTGACATTAGACCCCCGTTTTCTTTATTTTGAATCGACAACTTAAGGAAGATGATAGGCGACTGAACTGCCTATATTTTCAGTGGATTAAAAGTGGAGGGGAATTGTGTAGGCTTTGTTTGTACTGCATATTCATTCAATAAACATTATTTTTAGCATTTTTGCTGCCCGTAACGCATTTAATTAAAAGAAATGACTAAGAATATGAGCCCTGAGACTGGTAGTCGTAATTCTTGCTCAGAGTTCCGATAAAGGTACTGCATCAAGCACCTTCACTTTGGGTAACATTGGGATATGCCTTTTTCATGAATACTAGTCTACCTAGCCTAAAATTCCGAAAATGTGACAGGGCGAGTGGGTGTAATTAACGATAAATAAGGGAGATGGCAGTTGAGATTATTTGAATGGGAATAAATTTGCCTAATGGTGACATTGGTACCATCGTGTTGCGCTATTTTTTCGTGGGGAAACACAAAGATTTGAGCATTCTGATACCGAGATTATATTACAAGAAACTATTAAAGATGTCATTTTTTCTAATGATAGATTGATGGCTCTAAAGTGTCTTGTTAAGGAAAAATCTTGTGTTGCGTTCTGTACTCTCAATTCTGGTCGGCAGCACTGCCGTCTGTTTTCCACACTGCTTAAAGTGCACTTCAAGTGGCTTCTTTTTATCCATGAAAAGCATCTTTAACAACACTAAATTGCTCGTTGCCTTCTAGATTTAAAAAGCGTGGACTAATTAGCAGGTACGCCCCATTTTGGCTCCCCATTAATGCTCGCTCTCTCCTCTCTATTGTTCAGCTATCTCTTTTCCCGTTCACATCAATGCAAAACCCATGTGGGTTTTGTTATAAAAAATAGGTTTTCAAGACTTGCGGTGTTTTACGAATTTTCTTTGACATACATAGGCGAAATTCCTCAATTATTCATTAAAAACTAATGAATCTCTGCAGTGGTTTTTTTATCCTTATTGCGCCATCTAAACATGTTTTGTGATTTCTACATGGGAGATGGTAGGATAAATTCCCCTTCAAATATCATGGTCCATGGTGAAGGGGAAGAGTCCCCTTAAACAAACACTTTTGTATGGAAATGGATTTGAGTTGGGTTAACTCTTAACCAGCTCTATGTACACTCTACCAAGCTGGCCTACCCAGCTAGTACTTCTGTCGATGTATTTTGTATTTTTGCGATAGTAGGTTAACTAGTTTAAAGGGAGATTATTATGTTTGTTTTGCGCCTCGTACAGATAGCCTTCGATTGCGAAATGTGTGACTGCAAACAAATTTGCTGGGTCTTCAAAAGTTTATCTAAAGGTTATTATAGGTTTTATCACGATGTCCATTTGCTTCCGATATTTTTTTTATTAAACTTAATTGCCTTTTATCGTACAATCTAGCTTTACTTTTCAGATCACTTGCTGATAATCAATTGATTCGCTTCACGGTATCTTGTTAAAGTGCCCATTCTCGATACTTTTTGATCTCAAGCCCTTATTTGACTTTGCTCTTTTTTGAAATCTTCGACTATCGGTACGTTTATCTTATTTTCTCCCCCTTCCCTAAAGGCTGCGCTGCTGGTCAATAAACGGGTTAGTAGACGTGCCTCCGAGGGCCCGCTGCAATGAACCCCTTCCACCTCTCCTCCAAGCCTACCGACTGGTTACAGAGTGGGAGAGTGGGGACAGTGTGGAGGCCCGTCTAGTCAAGTCGACGGCCATCCAACTCCTCCCTGACTCGGTTTTCATGACCGCTTCGCCCCCCGCTGCTGCTACTGTGTTCGCGTCCACCGTCAGATCACGTGGCGCTATTGCCGCATTGCCACTGCTATCTCCCCCTTCCTCTCGGGTGCAGCCGAACGTGGTACAACAGTTGGTCTCGTGTCTTCGTCGGCGCGCCCTTTGGCGCAGCAAGGCGGCGCGGCCACCTTTGCAATCGCAAGCCTCCTCGGCCACCCCGATGCCCCCGCTGGACTCAGACGGAATGGAGGAGGAGGCGACTACCACACAGGATGAGGAGTCGGATAATGCCTCGCTTTTCCATAAACGGGAACCAATTCAAAAGGATTTGGTAAGTGTGGTTGTCATTTTATAAGTCTAACTGGTTAGCTGCCTCATTAACCTGATGTGTTAAATGCGACAGTTACTAGTCTCTGTTAAAGTGAAGTTCAATGGTAAGTGCTATTTCTTATCTGAAAGGTTCGCTTTTAGTTCTTTCAGTTGTCTTATGGACTGTAAAGTTTGCTAGAATGCGACATTCGATATTTAATTGAGCCACACCGCTAGATGAATCTGTTCTTACTTTCAATAGTCACTGTTTTTTATAGGACAAGTTAGCATGAATCATAACGGCTGTTTTCTTTCACTGTCTTGATTATTTTTTGTCACGAATTTATCTCCGTTTTACGCACTTTATCTTGTATTACCAGTGGAATTAAGTATTTCTGATACCATATGATTGTTTTTTGTGCCAAGGAACTCGACAGTTCAGTAATCACTTGGTATGACAAATAATTGTAGCTTCTGTACTTTTTAAGTCAATTTTTGTTGCCTAAACCATGAGAAATGTATGGTTAAGGTTTTTTGACCGAGAAACCGGCTTTCACTTTTTCCATTATTATTTTTTACCTACAAAGAAGTCCTAATGTAGTTACACAAACTGTGACTTTCTTTAACTCCTATGAATACATTTTCATTCGTCAAACTATACGTCGTACTTCGTAATCCCACTGTTTTAAATAAAGAATCTAAGTACCTTGACAATAACTAGTTCGCGTAAAAAACGCCAACCGACCTTATACTCACTTGCTGTTCGGCCCTCGTGCGTTTTGTTGAACCGTGGAGTAACTATTCTCCTCTGTTTATCAAGAGTGGTGTCTCATTTAACTAACTTGTCACTACTAGATGAGCAATTTCCTCTGCAGCTCATTCAGTGCTTTGACCTCCATGAGCCGCCACGAGATGTTCAAGCTTGGTGTTCCAGCCTCGCTGAGTCCGCCGCCATAGCCGCAGAGATGCACAGAGACGATCTGAGTTCTCAATTGGAGGCGGCAGTTTCGCCACCAATCTCGGAAGATGCTCTTTTCACCACCGGTTCCGATTCCTGTGGTGACGTCTTATTTCACCAACCTCCAGTTAAGCTTGCACCATCCGAGGTCCTCGAGACGTGGGAGTTGGATCAGGCCAGCTGGAGAGAGACTCTGGAAGCCGTCATGGAGTTGACTATGGGCCAAGGGGAGTCTCTCTTCTACTTGCCCCCTGGAGAGGGTGTGAAGAGTGTGATCGAGGATGAAATCACTGATGAGAATGATCTACCCATTGAGGATGCTTTTAAGCTACCGGTAAGCCCCGTTTTATTGCCACTTTCAGCTATATTCATACGGACTGTAGTTCATTGTATTAGACTGGGGCCTCAACATGTCGTTTTATCACTTTGTTGGCCTTCCTGTACTATCTGGTAAATTCCATTTTTGGTCCTGTTTCGTATGTTTAATGCAGAAACTGTTTGGCTTGAGTAAGTGGCATTGATTTACACAAGCAAGCGGATTAGTAATCATATTTTCAATTCCTCATATTTCATGTCAGCTCAGCTTTATGTATTTTTTTCATTCCTTCATGACATTTTAAATTCGCAATGAAGTAAAATTGCGGGACCTTTTTTCTTCTTAGGAAGACGATACTACTGTAGATTGAATTCCTTTTTGTAAAGAATGCTAATTTTCACTCTTATCTGTGTTTGTATGCGCTTTTATGGTCCGAAAGTGTAAAGGTGATGAGAGAGTGAGTTGGGTATGGTTCTTGAAGCGCAAATTTAATTTTAAACTGCTTTCGTGTTGCTAGTAATTTAATGGGGAGTGCGTTTAGAAAAGTTTGGGAGGAATGTAAACATCAAAAAACTTTTGTACAGACGCAAGCATTCGCAATCACATCTGGTAGACGTATCTACTAAATTTTTTTTGTATTTGTAGTTGCTTTTATTTATGCCGCCTCATTTGTAGTACTATCGAAAATAATTTCATCAACGCATTTTTATCATGGCCCTTGGAAACCCCTTTGTTTTCATTACAAGACTCAATTGTGCCATCCATTATCTAGTGCCAGTATTTACTGTGTAAATTCCAGAGATGCTTAGAATGTGCGTAAATTTGTCAAGTTGCTCTCGATTTCCACTTTATCTTGTTGCTTTTAAGTGTGCTATCATTCAATATCGTTCTCCTGTGACCGGTCAAATTAAGACTAATTAATATCGCTGGCGTTTTAAAATTGCCAAGGAGGTATCATTAGGGTAGTTTCGTACACATTGGTACCAAAATTATCCTCTTGCTATCTTTTGTCTTTCAAGAAAACTCCTCGAGAGAAGAGTGCAAAGTTTACTCAAAATATTCATATCGTAGAAGGATTCGGGAGCCGACTCCAGTCGAGAGAAGCCGGGTGACTTCACACACCGATTAAGAGTGAACTTAATTATCATTAATGAGGGATAAATATCCCTTGTTTAGGATCAGTCTCAGGTTGATTGCAGAAGTCTTATTAGATGTAACCTATTTTATAAATACTTTACTCAAAGATGTACGTTGCTGTTTCTTCTTTTCTAGCTCTGGGTGCCCTCTTTCTTTGAGGACCCCGAGTTCTGCAAAGAGCCTCTTCCCGCTCCCTTCGACAGACTCAATCTTTCCAGAGACGCCACCCAACCTCGCACCAACTCCTCGTCCTCTGCTACCACTTGGGGCTACGCCTCCGAGGCAATGACCGAAGCAGAGCTACCTCCTCTTTCTACCGCCGTACCTCCGCTATTTGATTCCACTAACACCACCGCTGCAAGATATCCCGGTGGTGCTAGTGGAAGCCCTGCTGTCGGTGTTTCCGCCGCCACTAAATCGTCAGTCGAAACCGCATCGCCGGCCATGAGCTACGCACTCAAACGATCGGCCGTCGCGGCGCTCTCCGCTCGCAATAGCGTCAGTGCAAGTGGTAGTCGCGCTACTGCACCACCCGCTAAGAAACGCAAGCTCACTGGAGCTGCTGCGATGGCTGCTAGACGTGCAGCCAGTAACAAGGCTGCTGCCGCTGCTGCCGCTGCTGCTAACTCTCCTGTCGTAACTGGTGGTAGCGGTAGAAGAACATCGCATTCAGAGGGTGGGTTGAGCCTTCGAAAGGTCTTAAATGCTCAAATTTCATGGTTTTGTTGATTCTTTGGCCTTACTTGCCGATGATTTCATCAATCTAAGGAGGGAAACTGTATACTTCGTACAGAGTGGTATTTCTAGTTACGTATATGCCTTTGGCACATCGGCAATTATTTGGGGCCTTCTGGAAATTGGCATTTCCACTCTCATGAGTGTATACACATTCGGCACTATATTTTGGCAGCGGTGTCTTTGACGTCACCGCAGTCGCATTGGTGTGTGCGCTCGCTGTTCCCACCTTGCGGTCGGCCTCTATGTATCTGCGCAATTTCATGCTTTCCACAAACCCAGGAATGTTTTGTCAGACATCTAGAAAGCATCAGCATATCAAAATATTAGTGGTCTTCTTTGAAGTATTTTAAGACGGTTAATGGATTACCAACTAGGCAGTTCATAACCCTTGAAACAGGTTATAAAGGTGTATAAGAAATTATAATAGGCTGTTTTTAGCATTGTAGTTATCTCTGTCAAAGTTAACTTAGATCCATTGTGTCGTTTGAGATTAACCACTACTATCCGCATTTGTTTGGTATAGGAATAATGACATTTTTCCGCCAGAAGCTGGGTAGCGATTGTCGTTCAAAAGATAACAACTGACAGGAATAGTGGCTCTCAGAACTCAATCTTACGTGTCTAAATATTGCGTGTTCTTGGGCGATTATTGGCCAAACTAGGCCCCCTCAATTCAACTCTGTTGCGTAAAAAACTAAATTCTATCAAGTGTACTTCCTATATTTTAGTCTATTTCCACCTTTTCGAGCATTGATAAGACTCCTAAAAATAGGGCTAATTTAGGTTTGACTTATCTAACCAACTCCTCTGCTTTTTAAATTACATCTCGATTTAAACCCCCAAGCATTGATTACTGGTCTCCTCGCTCCTTCCAGGTGACGAAAAGCCGCCGTTTGGTGCTTCCGCACAGGATCAATCCGATCTCCCTCCCACCTCATCCTCCGGCACCGGTACGGGCACTGTCTCTACCACCGTCTCCGGAGCTGTCACCCCAACAATCGCTCCCACCGCCATTTCCACTACCCTCACCTTGACTCTCCCTTCCAACCAGAAGATCTCCATTCCACGTCCCTTCTGCTCGCGCGATCTACGAGCCATCGCTGGAGGCGCGGTGGGCACTGTCAATCAAAGTGGTGGTGTTGGAAGCGGCGGTGCCAGTGCTGTAGGCACCCCTTTCAGTCCCGCTGCGCGAATTCGTCGCGTGACATCGTCCACCTCGGCCACACTTTCGGCACGCCTCGGTGGTTTTGGCGGCGGCTCCACTCCAGCAGCTGCTAATGGTGCAGCAGGAGTATTTTCAGCCCTCAATAACCCCCATCTCCTTGCTAAATATGCCATTACGTCGACAGGGAAGTCAGCTGCTGCTGCTGCTGGTCAGAGGCAGGTGAGTCCCATCTATTCAGGGAGAAGAGTGTAATGGATGTTGCCTGTTAAGTTTACCCATAAAGTAGTGGCGGAAAGTCATCAACTTATTCGAGGCAGTTGCATGTGGACCAAAGTAAACGAGTTTTTAATGACCAACCAGCCGACAGAGCCATTTAGCCACCTTAACGATGGATCGCCTGTCTGGAACCGTTGTGAAGGTAATGATTAAGTCGCTAAGCGGGATTTTACAGATTGCAAGGCATTGATTTGATCGCCAGGTAAAGTTAAGTCGAAGTCGGCCGGCGCAGCTCCTTCATTTTGTGGGTGCCGTTGTAAACAGTCAATGGTATTGTGCAGTCTTGGAGTCTAGGCAGAATTTACTATTTAGCCTTTAACAGAAACGGTGTGAATGGAACACTACACCAACGGGGTGGTGACTGGAAGCTAGGGAAATAATGGGGGTCCATATGACTGAAGGTACGGTTTATACCTGGTTAGTCGCATCCTCGCCAACTGAACGCTCGATGTTTTGAGCTATTTAGCCTGTTTTATTGGATCTGAGCTTATATTAACTGGCGGAAGTGGCGCTAAATTAGGGATAAATTGTTCGTATAAATTGGTTCGAAGGACAATCTCCGATCAAACAATGGTTATGCTGGCACATCGAAGGCTTGGAATGTTAATTTCAAATCCTTTAGCATTACCCACCGAGAATTGAAATAGTAGTGAGCAGTTAATAACTCTCGCCCATTAATTAATGACCAATTTTTTTTCGTTATAAGTTGAAGACTTTGTAGTATTTTGCTGAGTTGCCGTCTGTAGTGTATATGATGTTGAAATAGCGATATTCAATTTTTACACTTTTCAAGACGTGTGGTCACTTGGCTGGCTAGTTAATTGGAGGAGAAATTCCTTAAGCTTAAGAGCAGCGTTTGAGAGACTGTAGTCAATTTTAAAATTGTCTGGCCAATCGGAACTCCTCAAACCATCAACTGGCGTGAAGTGTCTGTCCTTTGGTTACATTCAAAGTAGCCAACTGCCCCGCTTTGGGGGGTTTGACCTGTATGCCATGTCGTATTGGTTTGCGGCAGAGTTAATGAGCCATAGCAACATGAGGTTAAACAAATGGTTTGTTTAGGATATCTGGAAGGATTATTTTACACCAAATAATGATAGCGATTATTTACTATTTCTGCTACCTTATAAATATAAGGGGTAGTAGACTTTGGAGGATACAGAACTTGGGTTTTAGTATTTAGGATTTCCATATTGACACGAGGCATTCGCTATGACTTTGTCATCCGATCATCACGCTTCGGACGACTCTTAGCGAATTACTTGCGGTGTCACCACGCACGTGGTAGTAAACATGACGCCTTGTTAGTTTGTGATCTGTAGAATCACGATGCAATGCGTATTCAAACGGCCGTGTTATCACTGCCTAGAATGTTTAAAAATTAGTAGGAAATGCCCTGTCTGAAAATCCCTTCTGCATATTTGTTTAGCAATGGGAAAAGTTGCTTTGTGGAGTGATTCAACCAGATGCAAGTGCTTGACGTTATCAGTTTATGCTATTTGGCTGCAGCATATCGTGTGACGTATACAGTTCGGTTGAAATGGGAGCAATAAAAGGTTTTTAGGATATTCATAGCTTCAGGATTGCACTTTTTAAACACCAGTTGATGTTATTAGAATAATAAAGCATCCAGGCTGTAATAATTTATTTGCCTCGGATATTCTGGTGGCCAGCATGCCGTTATCTAATCTTCTTTCTTCGTTTTGTCCTCCTCCCCCCTTCGAGTCAAAGCTTGTTTCTTGTCGAATCGTACATTCCCTCGTTCCTTATGAGGTTGGTCACCGCAAATGTTACCCGTTTCTTGACTGTGCGACGCTACTCTGTCGCAATCCTGCCAATATTACTGCCTGATTGGTTCGTCTGTCTGCCAGAGCCATTTAACCCTTGTATGTACGTGTGCTCGCGCGCGCGTATGTGTGTGTGTTTAATGAGATGTGGCTTTACTTGGCTTGCGTGTATGCGTGTTACCTTTTTTGCCGGTCCAAATATCAACTTACGCTTTTTTGGCCGCCGTTATTCAGGGTTCCCACTCCTCCTCCGGCCTGGTGTCCTTCAAATATGGCTCCTCGTCGACTGCGGGGCATCCCCAATCATCGTTCAATGATGTCAAACCCCTTGAGTGGTCACCTCTGGAGGAGGCTGCTTTGTTGATGGTAAGTCTACTCTTATTTAAGATCTATTCATAAACTGACGCAAGTAGTATTTTTTGCTGTTTGTTAGAAGTAATTGAATTCTAGTTTGAATTCATCATCCGAGTTTCAAGTAAACAAGTAGTGAGAGCTGGTAGTTGATTCGTTTCAGCGATATTGCTGTTGTGGGGTGATGCGACTTGCTTAGGAGCTGTATGCCACTGCTTAGTTTCATTCTGCTGCAATATTGACTTCTTTTTAGTTTGCTATGGTGCTGTGCATCACAAATTCCTTCGGGGTGATAAAAGTTTAAGCTATATAAACCCTACCTTACCGCATAAGATCATTTTTGTGAAAGTGAGGCAGTGGAGCTGTTTTACCCGCCTTTGTTAATTAAGTAGATATTTTTTGCGGGATTTCCAATCCCATGATCTCTGTATTCGTTTTTGCCTTTTTCTACTTAGAATATCTACCGTATAGTCGCAATCTCGAGTCATTTACAGCCACGAAAGGTGGAATTTCACTCAACTACTTTTTGAAGATGCCTAGCTCACTGTGCAAAAATGTTAGTCATAAGTTATTCCTACGGGTACTAGGGCTTCTCGAATGATGCAATAAGTTTTAGAAGGTTACTTAATCCAACCTGACGCATGTGAGTTGCGGGGGAGTTTTTTCCAACATGAAATTCTTCTCTTCCATTGATTAATTTACTATTCTGTCATTCCGAGCTGTCACTTCGCTCTCAAAATCTACTAATGCACTTGGCGCGCTACATAAAGGGTATTCACCCTCCTGAAAGTTGGGGGCGGTGATGTTATAACTTTTCCACCTCATTTCATGCCTTGTGAAGTGACGTTTGTCATTGATGGTAGGGTGCCTTTGCGATGGGTCCAGTGAACCACTAATTGTTGTTCGATTCCCATTTCAACGGCTAAGTCAAATTTTTGTCCGCGTCTTTGCATAAATTTAACTATAATAAATTCTCCAACGCCTTTTCCACTCCAAGTTATGGCCTTGGATTGAAATGCACAAATTGAAGTCTCTATCATATGGGTTTTAAGGCATCCGAAACCTCTCTATTCGTGGAAACTCCTAAATGTTGTTTTAATTTATGCATTTAATTTCATAAATTTTAAACTAGCGTTGTTCAGAATGGAATGGGATCCATGGAAGATCCTCTTCTGAGCCGGTCTGATTTACTTCAACCAGCAGTTTTGACGCACTTTTGCCGCCTCTACGATGAGAAATTCTCATATTTGTATGTAGTTTTGTTGATCCACATTTTTAATATTACTTGTTTTGTACCCCACTCACATCCATAGGTTAGCGTCCCAGTTCGCTCAATCCGCACCAAACTAGATCTGCTAGCCCTCAGTTTACGGGCAACTTATCTGCCCTATGCATGATAAGATTTGTAAAATCTCCCTTGTCCCATGCCCATTTTGTTACCCCCTTTGTAAGGTAACTTAATAAAAATACTGTACCCAGATGTTCAGTCATTTTGGATGTTTTTAATGAGTCTCTATCAATGGTTTTGCAATGGTGCTTAGTTGGTTTCTGCACAAATTGCAAAGTGGGCTACTTTATCTCCCGTTGGCCGTTTTAGGATCTGAACCTCTGTCTCTATTGCTCGCTTTGGAAGGAGTCTATTGTCTATACCGTCATCGTGACGGGCCCATCAACGTTTGATCACTAGTTTTAATTCTCGTTAATAATGCTGCTTGGTGGCTGAAATTCGTTATTTATTTCCCACTCCACTATTTCACCTCACGTTTAGTTTCAACAAGTTCGTTTTCTGTCAACAAGTTTAGTCGTTCCTCCTTTATCGTAGTGTGTACCACGCTGGCCAGTCCAAACTACGAGTTCTTGTCTCTTCTCGCCATTTAAAATATAATCAATCATCCATGTCCTCATGAGAGTTCTTGGTATCTCTGCAATTTGTCTACTTTTATTGCCTCGTTTTTTTTCCAGTGTACCACTAAACTCCAAGACATTCCCCTCAATGGCAGCAACTCGTGTCATTCTCACTCCCACTATCAAGTAGCAGCTGCCTCTACCTCTTCACGAATGCCTAATTTCCGTCTTGTCGAGTTTTTCCTCAACAACTTTCATGCTACCCGCGCCTACCGCAGCTGTCGCCAATGCCTCCTGGCCTACTACCGCATACTCTCTGCCCTCGTGACCTCCTCTGTGGCCGACTTGCTACTTCCGCTTGGTGATGAAGGTCAGTATGTTTGGTCGCATGTAGATGGCTTGGCAGTCAGAAGGAGCTCCACATGTTTGGGTCAAATGGGCGTCGCTAGCCCCTCAATTTTGGTAAATAATTTTTGGTGCTGGTGTACCGGCACCTACATCTAGGTATCAAATTGATCTCAAATTCTTTTTTGTAACATTTTTAATTTGTCCGAGCCTGAGTTAGCTGTGGTTGCACCGGTTCCATTATGGCCCTCTCAAGTGATCTGTCTGCATCAATTTGTTCTAATTTAGCTCCTACTATCCAATTCGGCTTACTTTTGACTCGTTTGAATATGCTTCGTCCAAACCCTAAATCAGTTGTCGCTGCATAAATGGGTTAAAAGGGACAACAGCGAACGTGATCCATAGTAGGGAGTTTTTTTTGGCCTGAAGCGCATTAGTACATATGGCTCACTTGATGAGGGTTGTTCGAACAGCCTTCGTCGTTTTTCACATGGGTGTTCGATAGGATCCATGTCCAGCCACTTAGTGATTCTGGAAAAGATGTCTTTGTTGTCATAGCAATGAAAAGCAGGCAGTTTTTGATGAGGCGATCAATTTATGGGCCCTGATACTCGCTGGCTTAGTCCACATGTAAGCAGTAACCATCCAGCTGTCTGTTTGGTTTCAAAGGTTGCAATGTTGTTGAAATAGTAGCCGTTTCAAATATGTGGGCCAATTCTTTCGTAGCCGCCTCAGCGAATTTTTCTGTTAATTCAACGTGATTTATCTTGGCTTCCACCATGTTCATTCGTGGTTGGAACTAAGGTTGTCCGTTTGTGCGAATTTTCTTCAGCTGTGCGTACTTGAGCGAACAGATACTCATTTGGTTAATTTTTCCCGATCGGCAGTGTTTCTGCCTTAATTTCACGCAAATTGAAAAGTACTTGAGATAAGATAAGTAGGCTGTGACATATTCAAAACCAAACCAAAATTGTAAAATTTTGATAATTTGTAAAATGTCACTGCTGTTCTGTACTTTTCTCCAACTAACAGTTTTGTTTCAATTTTCGAATAAAATTTTTCTTCCACACTTTATGGTAGTAATTTTAATCAAAACTAAGTCATGCTATTTCTCGATCGTAATATGCCGGCTAACTGTTCGCAGAATTTACTTCCTTTCAGTTTTTGTTTGAATGCGTAATTGTGCAGTGAAAAGTTTATTTTCCTCCGAAGAAATATTTCTAGAGTTTACTTTTAAAGGTTTGCCCATTTGGCTGCCTTTAGGATGTCGGTTGTCGATGGAATTTCCCTGTACTAAGCTAAATGGAAAAGGGGAGATTTGCAGGGTTGACGTTTAGTGCTTCTCGTCATCGCTGAGCTTCACAAAAGTTGCCATGTCCAGTTGCTTGTAAATAGCCTCAGTTGGTTGAAGTGCAGCAAGCCAGTAGTCTCTTGTATCGAGTGTGGAACACATCCCTCGTAAATCCTGATGACTCAAGTACAGCCAATGGTTTAATTAATGGGAGAACTTTGGTAATGAAGTCAAAGGTAAATTGCAGACATCTCTAATTTTCTGAGAGATAGTCCATTTTGGAATAAATGTTAAGCATTTAAGCTTGGTGATAGGTAATGGCACCCGAATTGCTTCGTTTGACCCAAGTGCTGCCGGCAGTCTCACTTGTAGTCGATTTTATGTAACTCTATTCATGAGATGACTCCTTTTTATTCTATCTGTAGTTTGTCGCGCTCGCGAGTACACTTTCGACCAAAAATGGACCGTTTTACTGCCTCATAGGCGCTCAAAATACGTTGGTTACTGCTTCTCTGAACTCTTCTTTTACACTCTTTAAGCACAGCCTTGACAAACTGAACTGGTGGGATCTTGATGTGCAGTGAGGTGTTTCTTTATAATACTTGTCTTTAAACTTCACTTCAAAGACGACCTTTCTACCCCTTAGCATGAAGTTTCAGCCTTTATACCAGCTGCCCACGTAGCTTTTCTGTGCTAAGTCAAGAAGGAAATGCGATTTGCAGGCTTAAAATTTTCCACTTTTTGGTTGACGCAAATGTATTCAAGTCTTGCTGCTACTGGCGGCGCAAAATTCGGGACAGTAGTGCGCCCTGGTTAATGAAGGTCGTGGCTCATTGGCTTTGCCAGTTTTTCTACCTCTTGAATTATTAAAATGTACAGTAAGCATAATTTGTGTGAAACAACTTTATAATGCTCAAATATTGCCCTCAGTCTCCCAAATCCCACTGGCGATCTCATCGCTGCTTGAAATTCGTGGAAAACTGTGGAGGCATTAATCACTCCAACTTTCTCAAATGCGACCAACGGTGTCTATAAGTACTAGTAACACGCAAATCAAGATAAATGTTATTTTAAAAAAAACTATTTCAGTTGACTCGTTGATATTAGGTGTCCAAAAACACGCATATCATAGATTAGAATAAATTTGGTCTGGCTTAAATGCAGTTGGTAGTCACGTGTAACGCAAGCCTTTAGAAATTCAAACAAATTACTGATTTATGAGTCATTCCTGCTGATTTGAATTTACCACCATCAACACTATACTCCTTTTCTTCCACAGATGGGTCGGTATCGTCCTATGCCCACCATCTGCAGCACCAACATCATCACCAGCAGCAGCATGGGTCGTCGACGGGTGTTGGACGGAAGGTGAAGAACAAGTTGAAGAGTGGTCTCTCCACCCCTATCCTGCCGTCTTCATCCAGTCCGCTGGATCAAAACAACTCTGTTGGTGGTGTGTCAAACGACTTTACAACCGTCGCCGGTGGCGCCAGCGCCAGTCCTGCCAACAAGTTGAGGGGCTACCAGTACTTCCTGGTACATAATCATTATGCAATTTTGTTAAGTTGAGTGTGGGGCGATTCCTGAGCTATTGACGCCCATTCCATACTTCGATAGCATGATGTGTCCGTTGATCAGCTTGATCTTCTCCAGCAGATTCAGGAGCTACCGGTTTTTCTTGTCGCGTGATAACTCCTTTTTCTCTGTGCTGCTGAAATTGGTCAAGATGCCAGTTCGAGGTGTTTTTTTCAGGTGAATGGCGCTCACTTCGTTTTTTAAGTAGTGCATAGTGCTGATCACATTTATGCGGTGAATGTACTCTTTGCATGATACTCTCAACTGTTGAAATTGGTCGGTTTGCCCGTTTTGAGTTATTCTTGGACGGCTGCTACTCACTTCATGCTCAAGTAGTGTGGCGTATTCGTTAACCAACTATGGTCCTTCAAACAAACTCAAAAACTATCCGGTTATTTCTATGCATAATATTTCCTCCTCCCTCTGCGTTGTTCCTTTTTTTGGTCGCTCAAATCGATTACAATGATTGGGTAAAGTGGTTCTTAAGCGGGCCCTACTTATTTGGCATATAAGTAGCTGATGCGTGAGTTGTTTGTTAACCGCGTTCTTCATTGGTCAAAGAGTGTTAATACGGGCAGCTATTTGTGCAGCTTAATTGATTCCAGGAAAATAAACATTTTGCCACAGTTTCGCAAAGTTATATGAAGGAGAGCGCTTTAAAGGAATTTTATGCAAGATTAATACTAGTATGTACTATTTGTTACCCGGTGGGTTTTTAAGTGGTATCATTCGGATGTGAAGTTTCTGCTTTTTCTCATGTAATGCGGCCTGTGGACTGAGTAAATTGTCCAATTTCTCGCGCATACACTATTCATATGTGAATCAGTCGCGTGGTGTTTACATTTCGTGCGCTGCCTTCATTTTCAAGTGTGTGGTTTTAAGGTTATTTAAAGGCCATCCTGGATCACCCCAATTTATAAGTTGTTTGAGGTGGCTACACTAATTGCTGAGGTACGCAGTCGTGTTAAACAAGCAAGTATTGTGTATTTGCTGAGAAGTGCGTTGACCTCGAGTTGTTTTCAAGATCGGAACAAGGCCCCAGGTAATCTGTTTAGGCCAATGCAAAACTTCCTACTCACTGCACATTTAAGTAGTGGCATCAATCCATAGAGCCAGACCAATTTCGTTGCTGGCTCTCTCCCTCATTCTATGTGAACGGGTGTATACGGAAATCGTTGAATAACTCCATTAAGCTGAAATTTAGGAAATCTTAAAATCCATTTCATGTTGTTAAGTTGGGGATGCGGATTCACTCTACCGTCAACTCCCACGATAATTCAACTGCCGTTTGTTTGCTTTATTATTATATTATCTTACGGGCTTCTCTGTGTATCCCTCCTAACCCAACCTTGAACTTTTGAGTGATCCACTGTGATTATGAAGTGGCTTTTCGTGATCCAGTTCCTTGGCTGTGTCGTAAGACTTTTAATTGGACCTACAGTAAATAATTACAAATGGGCAGAAGTTGGTGTTATTAGTAATCTGTCCTCAATCAACTAGTAAATTTGGTGTCTTATTATTAACAGACCTTCCTAGGAGACGATTGCGCTGCTTACCAAGGACTTAAGTAGATTCTACCTCTCACCCCTTGTGTTTTAGCACCTTGAGTCACAGCTCTCTTCCCTGGGCACCGCCTCTACTCAACCTTCAGGAGGCTCTGCCACCGTCACCACTTCCGCTCCCACCACCAGCCCGCTAGACAATCAAATAATCAGCATTCTTCGCAAGTGTATACGCGAGGCGACGCCCAAGTCAGCGAGTTCTAGTAGTCTCCACCACCTCCATCATCTTCATCACCATCCTGGTGCCTCTACAATAATTTCTTCTCATCATCCTCAGACGCAAGCGCAGCAGCGAATGGGCGGACCAGCGACCGCTGCGACAATGTTGATGCGCAACGCTGCGGCGGCTGCTGCGGCCGCAGCGGCTGCTGCTTCGGCCTCGCAAGTACCACCACAACTGCCTAGCGGAGCTACGGTGATTCAAAAAAATCCGTCACATATTGCTGCTTTGCAGGTGAGTGATTGGCCTCCTTGGTGATGGCGTTAATGGTTGCTATGCTGCTATTGAGATAGCTGCAGAGTTTTATGGGCATTTAGCTGACTACATTTGCGACCGCAAGGAATAGGAAACAAATTCAAAAACTGATTCACAAGGCTTCAGTATAGTGGCCGAGGGGTTTCTGAAAATCTAGTTTTGGATGCTGGTTTCACTTATGCCCATATACCATTTTCACTTGTAGTAAAATAATATCACAAGCACTTAGAAATTTGCTTCCGACATTTTCTTAAGGCGATATCTAATTCAATAAGGCTCAGTGAAAGGTGACTTTGCAATAAACTGTTACTCTTGAACTGGTCTAGCCCTTCCCTATTTTGAAAGCTTCGTCAATATTATGGAAAATTGGTGAACAGACAATTGCGTTTGATTTAATTTTGGTGAACTTCCGTCCCTTGCCATTGTAGGAGCACAACATCAGTCCAGACACATTGATCACACCGGCGATGGTAATCAAGAGCAAGGAGGAACGCGAGGCACGTCAGCGAACAGAAGCTGTTGCAGCAGCAGCCGCTGCTGTAGCTGCCGCCGCTGTTGCCTCTTCTTCCGCCTCTCCCACGCCTTCCAGTGTTTCCTCAATCACTGTGGTAGCTACTTCTACGCCATCTGTGGCTGTGTCTGGCTCTGCCGCCGTTGTTGTTGGTTCCGCCAACACTCCGGGTGTGCTCCCCGCTGCTCGCATTCACCACCACTCTCACCAACAGCATCCGACTATCGTTACTATTTCTGGAACCGGCAGTCCTGGTGGTAGTTCAAGCATTCAACGTTCAGCAAGCATCTTGGTAAGCTTTCAAGCTTTTTTTTCTACCTGCAAGATTTAAGTAGAAGCTTTTTGACGGCTCGGTTTGATTCTAGCCCTTCTCTACGGCCGCATCAGTCAGCTACCATGGTGGCAGTGGTGCCTCTCCGACGGTCTTGCGTTATACTGCATCGGGATCAATGGGCGCTGCCACGCGTCAAGTGCCTACTACTACCGCCACCACTACGGGCATTTTGCGCCGTGTTGGTTCCAGTGTGGTCGGTGCTAATGCTCAGTCGGTGTTTGCTGTCACACCTGCCACGGCCTCTGGCGCTACCCATGTGATCTCAGTTAGTTCCACCTTATTTGGAATTCAAGGAGTCTATGCGCTTTGGTATTTTTTGGCATATCACGACGACGTAATCTTTAATTCACTTGTATAAAAACTTGATATCTTTTTGATTTTTCCTGACGAACAACGTTTTCGTTGTTCTTACTTCCCCTCCTGTAGAGAAGTGCGAGCGAATGTTCGCCTCTTTATTATTTCGTGACCGCTAGTTGGATGGATGTGTATGCTATTTAGAGTCTATGCGGGAAATTGCTTTGTATCACTCAATTCGTGTATAGGTTTCAATTGTTGCTCTTTTAGTATTTGGTTAGATCTGTTGCGTTCCTCAGTGAACGCTCTCAACCGTTGTAATTTCGTCAAACCGATATGATTACAAGTACTTGCCGCTTTAATTTTATGCTTCATTACTTGATTTCATTAATTTTTAGAATGTGACTTCATCTAGAAGACCATCTGTTCAATCACATTATTCGGTAAATAAACTTGCTAAATGCCCACTCGCTTGATTGAATGTGGTTCTAAGCGTTTACTTTCATCATTCCCACTTGGTTGGTGTTTGTTAATATCCGGATTCAATGGATCATTCTTTTGCTCTACGGGCTGGGCCGTTCCCTGCCTTACTCAACCACGTTTTCCGGTAAGGGCTCTCAACCACTACAGATTTGGTCATTTGATTCCATCCCATTTTGCGGGTTCGCTGGTATTGTAGCGTTTGATTAATCCTATTGGCTGGTCCAAATTCACCGTTGAAGTTACGATTTTACTATACCCTCATCGGCCGATAGCTCCCTATTTCTACGCATTTGTTTAGTTTTTAAATGCTTTCACTTTTGCACAATTCTGTGGATAGGTTTCGTTTGAACTCATTCTTCTTCTGCGGTTGGCAGAAGTGGAATCAACTTCTCGAATTTCTAACGCTTGAAATGGCGAAGGCACTGATGCCGTCTTCCTCCTATCTTACCTTTTTTTGTTTTTCAGCGTATACAACCTATACCTCGTTGTACCTCTGTGAAGTCGGTAAAGTTTCCCGTATGATTCTTCGCTTGCACTCCGAATTTAGATAGCCATTGTGACTTTTTTGTCCCTCTTATTCGCGTTTTTCTTGACCGATAACGACATGCCGGCACGATCTTTTATTCCCACTGTTTGATGTCGCCTGAATGTGGCAGGGCTCTGTTGCTGGTAGATTTTGTGGTGCCTTAGATACATAGCTAGCAATTTGCCACATTTGAGCCCCTTGTACTGTCGTATTTTGTTGTTGTGAAAACAGGGCAATCGTGTTTTATTGTGGCCACTAACCTTAATTACGTTGTTTCCCACTGTATCTTCTTAGCCAATTCCTTTCAATGCAGTGGCGTTTCTTGTGTTTTTGGAAGAAATCGCTTTCACATACATTCTGACCATTCCATTGTATTTCCTCTCATTTCTTCTACTTATTTCTTTGGAGGGATTGTGTGCGATTACAATTACCGCCTCCGTAATGTTCTGTCACTGCCTTTTGAGGGGTAAAAATAGGGTCAAACTAGCTCCCACTGTAAAAGGTGATTCTTTCTCGCTACTTTTGCTTTGATTGTTTTTTTTTGATGGCGGTTTATCTAAGCTCATGTTAGAGAAATTTGACTTGTTTTTTATTTTCAGCAATTTATCGTATTGGGGAGGTGTTATCCTCCTGCCATTTCATTGCATCTTGCATTCCCTTTAAAGTTAGCTGATCGTTTGTGTAGATAGTTGCAGTTTTGCCAGTTTTTTTTCAAACTGTTAGATTTTCCCACACTTTCAAGTCGATTGGCTTTTATCAGCGCTGTATGGAAATGCCGACTATTTTTACGCTATAAATACTTACTAGTTTACAAGAATATCAATTTACTCCGTATACTTCCGTCCAGCCTTGGCTTATTTGATTCTGGTTCATGTTCTTGTCAGGCAGTAGTGTGTGGATCCATTTCCAACTTTTGTATCATTGTCTCGTTGCAAGTAACGAGGTTAGCGTTGCTGGATCAGTTCATTACTCTCATCTACCTAATTTTCCCCGTCTTACTGTCTTTTTCCACAGAATACAGGAGGCACGACAATGGTCCGCCGTGGTGTGACCTTGTCTCCGGCAGGAGTCTCGCAGGCAGGCGGTGCCACAGGTGCGAGTGGTGGTGGTGCTGGAGGGGTCACGGTGCTGGCCACTGCAAGCGGCGCACGACCTGCCTCAGTGATCTACCATCACCATCATCACCAGACCACTGCTGCCACACCCACTGGCATCACCCTCTTGTCAGCAGGAGCTCAAGCTCTTCCACAAATCATCAGACCGCGACAGCAGGTAGCCCTACTTTTTGTAGCCTGCTTGTGGTTCATTTTTTTTTCCAAATTGCGGTAGTTTTCATTCAAGTGCGGATTTTGATCGATCGGTTTTGAAAGTCGAGTTGAAATTTCCATTTGCAATCTTAAAACTTATTTTAAATTTTGGTTGTTCTACTGCGGATTCTGCTAGGAGATTGAGGTTATGAATTTTCCACGAAATGGCTAAGTTCTTTTGGGTACGGTTTCTGATTGATCGGGTCTAGAGACACGTAGCTCCTTAACAAGATTTTGCTCACCTTTTATTTCGAAACAAATTTGAAATTTTGACAGCACTCAACCATGCTTGTCTTTTGTTCCAACCTTTCAAAAAGTTTTGATTCAACTGATTCTTTTGAAAATTGTGAAATTTCATCGAGTTATTGCTTGTGTGGCAATGGATAAGCTCGGATCCTCTTTTTTGAACGGAGAAAACTGAACAATAGCTACTCACCCAACCCTTGTTCACTGTCACGCGTGCAGCCGAGGTCAATGTGAGCTGTTGTCTCTCAAAATGAAGTGTCACACACATCACTTCTCTCAGGGTTGCAGCCATCTCCACGTGAATTGTGAAATTGTGTGTTTTAAATAGGTGACACTTTTTGGAAACTTACTTTCTACTAAACTACTTTCTTGCAATCACTATGAATGCATTCCTCTGAAACGCTGTCAAGAGTTAGGCACTGGGGTTGTCGTTTTTCCGACTGAAAGGGGCGCAAATTGTTCTACAATTCTGGTTCTCCGCTCCTCTTTTTCCAGAATTTCATCAAACGTCAAAAGCGCTTGCTAACTGTTCCTTTAGAAAAAAAAGCACTCTTCCATTGTGACTATCACGCTTCCGTTTTCTGTTTTTCACTGCTTGCTTTTTTTTTCATTTTGTTTTAACCCTCATTTTTGCCAGAATCAAGACTTTTTTCCCAACAAATTCCACCTTACTTTCGTAGTTTTCGCACTTTCCTCGGTGCCTTCATTCGGTCGTCCAATGAAGCATTGGAAAGATTTTCTTTTCCACTTCAATATTTCGATGCGGATGGCCCTTAGCGCTAAATCTCATTTCAGTCAACTTGGCGGCTCGTGCAGGGCTGACTTCTGACAGCCGGAATGTGTACTTGGTTGTTTGTGCAGCTGCAAGACGCATGTCGAAAAATAAATGAGGCACTCGACGAGGGGCTGTATTCTGTGGAATGTCATCAATTTCCAGTCTTCGTCTCTTTCCGTTATTCATATATATGATAGTTATACAGCTCTTAAATTTCGTCCTCTATGAGCAAATCGAAGATGTCGTTCTTTACTCTCCACGCTGGGTGAGGAGCTTCGTGCAAACTGCATCTTACGTGGAATTCTATCCTTCGCTGACTACCGAAGGTGTTGGTAGTGGGTGGTGGTTTATCCTAAAGTAGCATTCTATGAAGTGGGTTAGGTTTCTGGAGATCTAACACTAGTTTAATCTTCCACATTTCCTTGCGGTTCTTTCCGTCCTCTATTAAAAATGTATGCGCGTTGAATTCATTGTCAACTTGCCATCCTTTGGATTAGAAAAATATTTGTCCTTGAATCTATTTGATGTTTTTTGGACAGTAGGTGGAATCGTGTAAAATGGATTTCTAAGATTCATAATGTAGCAGAAGCCCTTCTGTGTTCTTTGCCATGAAATGCAATGATTCTTGGTCTTAAACAAGTGATTTTTCATGACCTTACGCATAAGCCCGCTGCTCTACTCATTATTAAATAAGCGTTCTCCGCCTCCAGTTTCGTCCGGGCACCGCTCTGCCCGCGCAACGGTTCGTTCGTACACTTTCCGTAACGCCCGCTGGCAGTGGTATAGCCACACCAGGTGCGGTCCAAGCAACGACGACACCGGTTCACCGCACCCGCGACGGTCTCTTTACCTCTCCCGTCCAACAGCAGACACAGCAACGTGGAAGCGGCGGTAGTGGTGTAGTTGTTCCAGAGTCGCAGCTTCTCCTCTCACGCATCCACCCCGTTTCCAGCGCTTCTCGTCGCCCCGCCACGGCCGCTACCACCACCACCACTGGTGGCGCTAGGCAACAGCAACCAGGTCAATCTGCTCCTCCTCCTCCTCCTCCTCCTCCTCCTCAATCGTCGTCTTCTGCATCTTCACATCAACCGCAGTAGAAGAAAAGAGGATGACGTGGACTTTCCAACCCACTGCCTCTGTGTATACATCTTGCCTCAATTGCCATGCCTATCACGTTGTCCCTCTGTTTTTTGGCCCTGTGCGCGTAAAGGGGTTATCGGCGATCTGCTCAGCACTTGCAGCTGGTATGTGTAATGTACGCAGCCATGTGATCAGAGGTGTTGGTGCATTCACATGCATACATTCACGAAACTTTTTTATATCTATATAAACATATGTACAAAGAAAGTGTGTGTAAAACTCCCACGGAATCATTGTTATTTCCTTGAGTATTGAGTAGAGGAAAGTAATAAATCGTCTACTATTATTATTGCTACAGAAACCAGTGTCTTCTGTGAACGCAGGTGAGGTGGGTGAATTCGTAATCTGATAAGAAGTTAGATGGGAAGGAATGTTGAGTAAGAGTAGGCGAGTGAGTAGCTGCCTGTGCGGACTTGTGGGTAAATTGGTAGGTGTGATTCGGTGGGTGAGCAGATCGATGGACAAAAGGCAGGGCGGGTGGATGGGCGGGGCCGAAATGAGGAGTCGTAAATACATCCTCGCTAATGTTCGGCAGGTAATTACTGAATGTTTAGAGGGGTGTCGGGCTTGATACATTTTGACGCAGAGTGGGCGACGAGGCCATCTCTTGATAGACGCAATTTAGCCGATGTGTAAAATTAATCGGCTGCAGAGTTAAAGTGATTTTCAATGGAATTACTCAATTTTGCGAAGAACGTTTTTCGTATCTGAATAATATGCTGTCCAGTGATTGATGGGCCACCTCAGAGTCTCTCGATATTTGAAAGCACGTTAGTGGGACCACATAGCACCCGCCAAAAGTACTTAAAGGCTAATTCATCTGACTGAAATTCTAATTGCAAATGCGAATGACTGCTATCAAGGAACTAAAACAACCATGTGGCAATTCGATTTAATGACCAATTTCACCTCTCCAAATTGCCATTTTATTAATATTTACACAACACGTGTATCTCAGGTGATGTTTAAACGCCATAAAGCCATATCATATACATACATAAAACTGAATTGTTTAGCCGTTTCCATCGATTTTGGAATAACAATACACTTCATATAGGGCGCGCATCAATGCACGCGACGTGTAACCAATCAGGGCGCGCGACCTCAAAGGCATGCTCGTCCGTGCATCCCCGTACAGTTTGAAAGAGACCCATTCATGCGTGCCCACGCGCGTGCACGCACATACGTACGCACAGAACGCATGCGCACCAATTTCAAAGTTGGCAGCCGCATGAATGGGAGGGAGGGCGAGAGGCGTGGAGAAAATGAGTTGTGCATGTGGGATATCTGCATGAAATAGGCAAGAAAAGGAGGGGTGGAAGGCATCAAATAAACCACCCAGAGCTCTAATAATGGTAATAATAAGGTTCTATCTAGTAATAGCAGTGAATATAATCATGCACAACTTAGACCGCTCTCTACACGGGAAATAATTGCGTTTGAGGTTAGGTTCAATTTCAAGGGGAATCATTCATTCTTGTCGACCACGGTGCGTTTATTTTAGCTTTTCTTTCAGATGATTGAAAAAGAGCGCTTCTATTTTATTAAAGTTGCCTTTCCATTGTAAAAAATGTGCCGACAGTTGCATCATCCTGTGACCACAAAAAAACAAAGGGACAAGAATTTGATTGTAGGGTGCTGTCGTTATTTCTTTGCAGGTGATTCACCGCCTTGGATTTCCTTTTTTGAGAGGGCAAAAAGCTTTATGCGCACAAAGATGTCATCTTTTTTCAAATATGATATCACCTTTTTGACATTGCACTATACTGCAAGTGGTGTACAAGAAGGAAGTCGAAATAAACCATGAGGCCTGACAATGATCCAAGCGTTTGCAAATGGAATGGCAAGGAAAATCTATTAAAGTAAGCCAGGAGGTCTGAATAAAGCGCACACAAAGCTCGGAAATTGCGGACTAGATGCAATGATTTAGTTAAGCCCCAATTGCTTAATAACCGCGCTCTATGGCATTGGGAAAAGAGAGCTTCCCAGGGCGCCCGGAAATGGGAAATCCTAGAAGTGACCTTGATGAGAGACGTGCGTACAGGGTGCACGATAACTCGTGGCCCCGTTACGGGAGCAGTGCCTGCAAAGTAAGCTGCGTGACTGTGCCTGTAATGGCAGTGAAGGCTTTTCAGATGCTCAGCTAAATTCCAACCCGGACGTTTAAGCAGTAAAGGTGCTTTCTGAAACTTAAAATCCGCTTCCTCAGGTATAGCGCCTCCATTGATCTTCGAAGAAGAAGTGGTAAGAATGTGGTATGGGAAATGTGTATTGTCGGTGGGTTGGAAGGACTTAGATGGGAGTCCCCACGACCCAAGAACTATGATTAAAAGTGCTGGAGACTAGAAAACCTGCGTGAATAATTGTCATTTAGACAGCCATCATGCCGTGACAGACAAATGACCGAGAGGTCAGCTTTGGAGTTATTGGCTGCATCTACTTTAGTCCCTTTCAAATTTGCAGCAAAACTGAAAGGACTATATTCATCAGTGCCAAAGTTTAGGGTGAAAAGTCACGAGGATCCTTAAAATGGCTTACATTGAGCAAATGTTTAATCTCAAAGGTGTAAACTCATAACTGCAGTATGCTTTCCGTATTATACCTCCTTGAGTCACTGGATCTGACTAGCTAGAAATGAAATCTTTTTTAGCGAGGAATGGCGTTATTGCATTGCGGTCTATATGGTTTGTTCTTAGCCGCCGAAAAAGTACTTTTCACTTAACTACGGAATGCTGAGGTGCTTAAAATGTCAATTTTAAAAGCACTGCATTACATCTTCACCGTTACTAGAAACAGGACCACTTTTAAATGTTCCCTCTCCGTGGTAAAGTTTTGAGATAAGTGATGCTTTAAAATGAAATTGTGCAAAGTCAACTTAAAACCTACTACTTAACATGAAGTTGAGCGTCCAAAAAATTGTATTTCTGAGTAAAACAATATTTTCTGAATACACCAAAGTAATGAGCTTATGATAAAAACAACTCCTTTGGATTTAAACTATCATCTCAATTGTAATAACACATAATCTATTTAAATACTGAATGCAGTTTCATACAAATTCGAAGACTAGAACTAGGAACCTCATCAAATGATAAATTAGTAAATATTTGGACGCAAATTCAGGTTCTAGGAGGGCCATAGTTCTAGTAAATTGAACGTCTTTGTTTACATTGATACTGTCACTCCACCCATTAGTCCAAAATTTCCACCTTGTCTTGGCATGGAAGAATTTGCGTGGGTACAATCTAAATAAGGAAAAATTTGTCTCAGATAAAAAACCGTCATACATTGAATAAACCAGATTCCCAGAATACGGGAGAATTAGGGCAATTATTTATTTATTTTTGAAAAGGATCGCATTCCGCGCATCCATTAGGAACTTTCTATCGTAAGTACATGGCGATAAAGTCGGTAAAGAAAATGATAAACTTCCAAGTTAACCGAGTTGATGACACAAACCAAAAAACTCAAGATAGCTCACAGGATATATTTCTTGTGTCGAGACAACATTGCAAATGGGCAAACAGTGAATCGGAGAACAAACGGCTTCCTCTATTACGCTCAGAAGATTTAAAAAGATGTGTCGGATTTTGGATAGGCATCTCTAAGCCACCTTTGTTTTAAGTACCTTTGCAGAAAATATGTACGTAAATTGCTAAAAGGCTGTTTACCACTTAACCGCCCCACGATTTAGTGCATGAGCATTGAGTAGGCTGGGGCACAAAATCAGATCAGCGGAGGCAAAATATTTGCGCTTTTGATGTCCAACTTGGCTGATTAGAGGTGAATCAACAAACATCGGCAACAACTTTGGCAAATAACGGGACATAGACACAGGTAATAAAGTGATTTATTGTCTGCATCTTAATCCAAGATGCTGGGTGTATTAATTTTCTTGATAAATAGCTTGAGAAATAAAATTTATTAACTGCATTTCCCAAAATAATGGGGTCGTGTTTAACAAGGTCTAAAATGGAGAAACGTAACTCCTGCTCTTTGGATAAAATAAACGTATATAAACACGAGTTCTAAAACCGCAATCTTAACTAGCAGATTAATCCGAAGTGGAAGAATGGAAGATTAGACTTGTCGGTGTTCTCTGGACCACTTTCCACAAGGCTACAGTCGTCCACATCACAGCTGACCTTGACTTCAATTCAACCAATAAAATATTCAGGAGTAGTGTCAAAAATATTTTGTTCGCTTCTGTAAAATAAACGAAATAGATTTTGGCGCTAAGGTTACTAATCCAAACTGTGCAAATAAAAAAAAAGTTTAACATCCCAAAAAAGTTGTTTTCGAGCTATCGTTTGAATAGTAGCAGTTGCCCCGATGGAACGCGATTAAAATAAGCGCACCAGAGCAAAAGTTTTGAATGCATTAAAAAAGGAATTTTTTATTCCACTGCAGTATTTACTGTTAGGGATTGGAACTGTGGTAAATTCGTTAAGACAACCAAGAATAATGATAACGTCTGAAAGTGGTCATTACTGTGGAAGTACTGTATGCCCTTTCGCATTTTCGCCGGACGTAATCAAAAACAGCAACATTGCCCAACAATTCCCCCAATTCTAAGCACCATGATGCTAAATACTAGCGGAATTTTAGCGGCAATTTCCTACTATGCTTAGGCGGTAAAAGGAATTTTTGCTAAAAGTGCGATTTTGAAGAAGGACCTACCTTAAGGGAGGGTAGAAGTTAGGCTCCTCCCCAAACCGTCATTTTGGAGTGCTAATTTGAAAATGATGGCTTCTCGACCATTGGCTGCCTCAGTTAATCGATATCGATCACCGTGTACGCGTCTGTGCGCCTAATTTAATCGGATGTTGTGCCTATGTGGTAAAGTACAGCGGGAAAGCTCCAATCAGGAAGCGCCGCTGTGGTCTGCGTTCTCGCATCTACTCACCGTGCTTCTGCAGCGATGAGTCACCACGCGCATATGCACACACATGCGCACACCATGTCCAATAAAGAGGTCAAAACAGATGAATGTGCAGCAAATTCTGAAACTGCATAACTTTACTAGGGAATACGGAAATTCAGAGTGTACCAACACCTAAATCAAGGTGGAAATGCAGATATAACATTTCCCTCTGGGTGGTAGCGCGAAAAGAAACAATAATTTGGGCATGTCAAGTTGCCCGAATAAAAGGGCGAAAAGAGGAGAAAATTTGCTTACAGCATGGGTGTGTGAATGCCACTATTTGACTTGACAAGTGAGACAAATCAAAGGTGGCAGTGAATAGTGTTTTCCTATCCACCTTCTGCACCTGACTTGATTACAGGTGAAGACGATGTCGTTGATGCGAGTCGATCCTCGTCACGTCAGTAGACCCTGATTAGC